AATCACTCTTCTTTCAATACCAGGCAAAGTCTTCAACAGGGTATTGTTAAAGAGAATGAAGGACTTCGTAGACGTTCAACTTCGAGATCAACAGGCCGGATTTCGTAAGGATCGATCGTGTACTAACCAAATTGCTACATTACGGATCATTGTGGAACAATCAATTGAATGGGACTCACCACTCTACATCAACTTCATCGACTACGAGAAAGCATTCGATAGCGTGGACAGGAAAACACTGTGGAGGCTTCTTCGACACTACGGTGTGCCTGAGAAAATAGTCAACATCATACGGAATTCTTATGATGGATTCAACTGCAAAATCGTACACAAAGGACAGCTAACAGACTCGTTCGAGGTGAAGACCGGTGTCAGACAAGGTTGCTTACTCTCACCCTTTCTCTTTCTCCTGGTCATCGACTGGATTATGAAAACGTCAACATCTGGAGGGAAGCACGGTATCAACTGGACAGTTAGGACGCAGCTGGACGATCTGGACTTCGCAGATGACTTGGCTCTTCTATCGCACACTCAACAACAAATGCAACAGAAGACGACCAGTGTAGCAGCAGCCTCTGCAGCAGTAGGTCTCAAGATACATAAAGGAAAAAGCAAAATTCTCCGATGCAACACAACATGCACCAACCGAATCACTCTTGATGGAGATGGCTTGGAGGACGTTAACACCTTCACATATCTTGGCAGCATCATCGACGAGAAAGGTGGATCGGACGCAGATGTGAGGGCGCGGATTGGCAAAGCGAGGGCTGCATTTCTACAGTTGAAAAATATCTGGAACTCCAAACAACTTTCAAACAAAACCAAAATCAGGATCTTCAATACAAATGTCAAGACAGTTCTACTGTATGGAGCGGAAACATGGAGAACTACCAAAGCCATCATCCAGAAGATACAAGTGTTTATTAACAGTTGTCTACGCAAACTACTTCGTATTCGTTGGCCAGACACCATCAGCAACAACGAACTGTGGGAGAGAACAAGTCAGATTCCAATGGAGGAGGAAATCAGGAAGAAGCGGTGGAAATGGATAGGACATACACTACGAAAAGCACCCAACTGCGTCACTAGACAAGCCCTCACATGGAACCCTCAAGGCAAAAGGAAAAGAGGAAGGCCAAAGAACACACTACGCCGAGAAATAGAGAAAGATATGAGAGGAATGAACAAACATTGGACAGAATTGGAGAGGGAAGCCCAGGACAGAGTTGGTTGGAGGAAACTGGTGAGCGGCCTATGCTCCATTGGGGGGAACAGGCGTAAGTACCTTCGGTATTGTGAGCGAACGCCTTAACCTTTAGACCACTGAGCCGGTATCCAACGGTGTTAATGTCTAACTTGATTAAATTCACGGTGGTCCTGGGTTCGAATCCTGTGAGGTGCAGGCGTCGTGGATGCGCAGTGCTGAGGAGTCCCATACCAGCACGAAACGGCCGTCCAGTGCTTGCAGGTTTCTAATGGTGGTCTAGCACTGATCGATTCATGGTTTCAAAAGTGTGTAACTTAACAATCTTCAAAACCACGTAATGGAAATAACTTCTTGCCCACTCCTTAACTTATACCTGACTTTTCCTTATTTACTTTGCTGGACCCTCTTGAACTTCTCGGATTATCTAACTTTTTTATCCCACACACAGCAGCAAATGTAGGAGATTATTTTGGGTACAATTTAAGCCTCATTAGCAGTAAGTTTCGATACACCAACCGGGAAAATCCGAACCTGCAGATACAACACAACATGCACCAGGCAAATCACTCTTGACAGAGAAGCGTTGAAAGACGTAAGAACGTGTACATATCTGAGCAGCAGTGATAAGCAAGGTGAATCTGATTCAGAAGTGAAGGCACGGACTGGCGAAGCAATGGGAGGATTTCTACACCTGTAAAACATCTGGAACTTAACACAACTGTCGGCCAGTACAAAAGTCAGAACATTTGATAGAAACGACGAGATAGTTCTGTTATATGGAGCAAAAACTTGGTATAATACCAAAGCCGTCATCTGAAAAGTGCATGTGTTTAACAACAGTTGCCCACACAAATGCTGTGGACCCTTTGGCCTTAAACCGTCAGGAACAATCTCTTGTGGGAGAAAACTAACCAGATTGTAGCTAATGAAGAAAACCTGACGATTTGCTGGAGACGGACCGGATACATGTTGCAGAAATCTTACTGACGCTCCACGCGGCAAGCCACAACCTGGAATTCTCAAGGCGAAAGGAAAAGAGGCAGACAAAAGATTACACTTCTCCAAAAATTGGAGGCGAAGACGAAAATCATGAAATGCAATTGGTTAGAACTGGAAAGGAGAGCTAAGGACAAAGTTGGTTGAAGAATGCTGGTTAGAGGTCTATGGTAAGTAAGGTATAGGAGGGTCGTGCAAGTAAGTATCCCATAAGTAAAACTGACACACTTTGTAACATCTTCAAATTAGCAACTTAGTTAAATATTTAACCATCTCATGTGCAGGTGACTTATTTTTTACAGATAGTATTAGCTTTTGACAATTTTAGGTAACCCATATAAAGTCAAGAGTTAAAGATCGATGTAATGTAAAAAACTTACTATGCATTGACTTTTTGTGCTTTACAGTCAGTGATGTACATGCGTTGGGTCTGTATTAATAAGCAGACTCACTGTTCATATTTCTTGTTCTGCTGACCGCCCCTCTGCCTCTCCTTCTCTTTATTTGAACCTTTGTGATTCGCCAACGTAAGCACATGTGGAACATATCACTTCGTTTTACGTCTTGTATAATAGACCTGCTATAACCGGAGTTTTGCAGCTGGTTTACTCAGCAGCCTTTCAAATTGTTATCTAGTGAATGACATTTAGAAGATAAATGGAAATTAACTCCGTCAACTGTTGTTCTGTGCAGCCCTGTATTTAAGTTTCACAGATTATCGTCCACTAGCCACTTGTACCAAAGCGACTAATACAATTCACTCCAGCCATTTTATTATACAGTTCGGTTTCCCAAACATCATTTGCATTTATTTTGAAAATATTAGCCCTCGATGATAATGCCTAACGCATCTAGTAAAATATCTTTACGACTGAGAAACTTATTACGCTTTTAACGAATTGATCTCTCCTGGAAACTGGCATGCCTCATATTACACTTTGTTATTTGAGAACAAATCCTATAATCATTATTATAACTTGAATTCGATTCTTTAGAACGAAAAACTCTCAATGACACAGACTGACCTTCTACTTCAAACTGATTACCGTTCGTCCATAAACTGCTCTACCAACGTGGTACCAAGACGTATACTTGGATCAGGAATTTTACTGAAGGGCCATGCTTCAGATATTATTGTGTGAGATGGTTGATAAAGTAATGCAAGTAAGTCTGTTCTTCTGTTACAGATTGACCGTTGCTTAGACGTATATTAAACTAATTTCTGGTTAAGACAAAATATTTAGGGAGTATCTTGAGGGAATGAGTTATTTTAATATTCATGAAAGCGATGTGAGTTTAAAATGAGAATAGTTGTTCTTTGATTTCTCATTTTGTTGGTGAGAGAAGTTAGATGCGGATGCCTGCTCAGGCGTATCAAGCAGGTATAAATCCCTTAATACTAATGCGGACATAATCAATGTCGAACACTTAAACAACTTTTTATTTTGGGATTTTACTTGCCGCTACAAAATGACCTGATTTTGATGTGTAGTTTCATAGGAAATGGTTTCGATTCTCATGTATTACTCTCACCATATTATATTATTGGACAAAATTAGCTCCGTGACATCAATCTACGCAGACTATGGAAAGATCTGAAGGTCTATGAGGAGCGAGGTGGATTCAATAGAGTTTTGAATGGACTTTACATCTATTGAGAAATGGGCGGCGAATTACACTTTCAGTGTGAGTTCGCTTTCTAATGTCTCCTTAGACCGCGATCTCGGTTTAATAACCACAGAAAACCCAGGAACCATTTTGAACTATACAGGGGAATCGGCCAAGGCTAACGCATCTCTCCACTTCATGCGAATACCACTTGGTGTTACTACACTAGAAGTATTATAAACGTCGTTTAAGACATATGCATGCCCACACATTGAGTTTCACAAAGTTGTCGCAACCCCTCTCCTTGAAGGAGACAAAAATCCACAGGAACGAGTGCAGAACCAAGCAACGAAATGGGTGATAGGGTTGAAGAATAAAACTTCCAAAGGTGAACCGCAACATTTGGTACTATTCCCCCCTGAGTCGCAGGAGGATCAGAAGTGATCTGATAACGGCATATCACATTTTGAGCACGCAAAAGTCATCACAGAATGAGCATCTCGCCGCAGTATAACCACAAGATAATCCTAGAAAGATCTCAGAACAGACAGCAAACACCTAGGTTCTTGCACTCCTTTTCTCATGAGAACTTATTGCTCCTTGGAATGCCTAACAAGTGGATAGCTTTAAGAACAGATTTGATAAAAACGTACTCGAATACGGATGATCATCTCCCTCGAGGACCAGATGTGCTTGATGCATGTCTTGAGACATGTTAGTTGTTATCATCACAGTTTACCTAGATTACTAACTTAATTTATCTCACTTATTATCTCTGCTTCATCTCATTCACCCACACTTCATCCTACTGAAATGTCATCACTACCAACTAGTTAACTTATCCATTCATTTTGAAATCTTCATATGAGCACTAGACTTTTCTATTTATCATTCTCCATATTGCAACTAAATGATCTCCTGCTTGGTAACGTGATTGTGTCTGATATCCAGAAAATTTACTGCTCTGAAGTAAGTTACTCATTCAAAACACGAGAAATGCGAATTCATGAATAACTGCCTACTGACTAGGATTAGTGCAGTCGGGTGGCTTGATTATCACTCAATAAACACTAACAAATTCCTGTAACCGTACAGAAGGAACAAGAATAGGTGCGAAGTGATCAATTTGTTTATACTAGCTTGTGAAAAAGATACTAAAGATTGGTTTTATTGGATATTGGATGTTGGACGCGCGCACAAACGGCAGTTTCCCAGCGCTCGGTTTTGAAAAAGCGCGAACTCTGGTAAGTTGTGTTCGGTTGTTATTTCTCGTCACTTCGAATTACCGGCCTTTATTTTACCGGATTTCGTTTTATTACATCTCATTTTGACACAATATTGCACATAATTCATGGAAAACACGTGTCTATCGTCAGTAGTCTCAAAATGCAAATCATCGTTCATTACAGTAACTGAAATATCTGGTTTTCGTTTCATGTTTACATGAATCAAAGACAATGATTTCAGACAATTTTGGTCTTTATGAAATAATCTGCATTAATTTGTGCTTGGCCAATATTTCAATATTTGACCTATTCGGTGCGCACACATTCCAATATATTTTGTCCCAATTTTTCCCACTGTTGGTTCGCTTCGGAAGCCTAGGGGAAAAGCCGAGATTTTTCCTACAATCCTTAAAATTCATCGTATCATACTGTTCGGTCATATGTATGTCAACTGGACCTGATATGTCCAAACTTTGCTACGTCCGTTTTTGTCATATCAATGTTTTAAACCACATATCTGGATTATTAGGGCTTTTTGTATTTTGTTTATTTTAGAGATGTCTGCAGACAGAATTGGTGATAGTCCTGTAGAAGTAAGTGAGGAATAGAGTATGATTTGATATTCTGTAATAAAATACATTACATTTAATACAACCTAGTGGTATTTTGGCCTAATATAAACTATCATATAAATAAAGTATCAGAACCTAACTGGTTAAGGGGTAGATTGAAATATAACTGGAGTCACTCGAATCTAGACGTGGTATCAGTTCATGGCTGTTAGTTTGAAATATGTTAGGAGTTTATTAATACCAACATTGGTAAGTAGTCTCAGAAATATTTGTCCGGAGTTCGGGCTATTATGAATAGTGGTTTGAATTTCTGTGGGACATTTCTCATTATAGGTTTCAGCTATGCAAATTCATTCAGTCATTATCTACTGTTCAATTATGAGTTTAAAATTACTTAAATCCATGAAATCACGGACAACTGGACTACCAGGTTGAATTTCCTGAGAATTTGGTAATCGATGAATAGAGACATTGAATGACGTGGCTCAGAAAATTTTTTTTGCAACCAGTCAGTCAGTCACAACGTAGAACTTCGTAAGTACGTAAATTAGTTCAAGTTGCCATACCACATTCGGACAGAGATGGAATTGTCAATTCAAATCCCATAGTAGTAGAGGTCGTAGAAGTATTAGCAGTAATCATAGAGATTAAGGTTCGAAGATGTTATTCAAGAAATATAATCTAATCACAGATTGACTCCTGAGATTTTCAAGGATGTTGGTCCAGTTTAAGCAGTTAGATTGACTGAGATATCAGACAGACTTGCTTTTAGAATAATCATTATCTTCATCTTAATTTTCAGGGGTGAACCCTCTACCAGGTCAGTCAGTCAGATGCAACGTAGAACTTCGTACGTGAGTACATCAGTTCCTGTCGCCATACCACATCAGCACAGAGACATAATTGTCAATTCAAATCCAATAGTAGTAGAGGTAGTAAAGGTATTAGAAGTAATCGGAGAGGTTAGAATTAGAAGATATTATTCAAGAAGTATGATTCAGTGAGAAAAGTTTAGAAAGACTAAACTAGAGATGTTGAAGAATCCAGAAGATTAGGATTTGAGAGAACACAAAGAATAAATGCACCGGCACCATTGCGAACGATTTTCAGCCATGTCATTCAGGGTCTCTAACCATCGATTATTATCATCTCGCGGACCCCAACCAGGTAGTCGACAATTACCGACATGGCTAAGTCCTCTCGTCAATGACTTCGTGGATTTCTGCCATGTTTTGGTCTGGCCGCCCCTAACTTTCTTCCAACCTATTCCTACACTACAAAACAAAGCTCGACGAGGCAGTCGGTGGTTAGGCATACGTAACACATGTCCCAACCACCTCAACTGATGAAGTGTCACCACTGCGTCTATTGATCTGCCATTCTTACCTAGCACCCGATTCCTAATGACAGCATTGCTCACTCTAGTGTCCCACGATATAAGAGCAATGCTTCGAAGACACGTATGATCGAAAACCAGTAACCTACGAATATCTTCTACTCTTACCAGCCATGTTTCACAGCCATAAAGTAAGACGGAGTGAACCACTGCACAGTACACTCGTCCTTTAGTTAGCAAACGGATATCTCGTCTTCGCCATAAGTGACGCAGGTTGGCCAAAGCCCATCGAGTTTTTTGTATCCGTGCTGAGATTTCGTCAGTCACCAGGCCATCGGCACTGATGAGACTTCCGAGATAAGTGAAGCGGTCTACATGTTCGACTGCTTCACTCCCTATCACTAGTTCAGGTGCCGATGGAACCCAATCTTGAAGCAACGTTTTGCTTAGGGTGGTAAGCTACAATGCAAGCATGTTCGGGATGCAGTTTTCCCCCTCGAAATGCAAAATGTTGCTTCAAGATTGGGTTGGATCGGCACCTGAACTGATGTACGTACGTATTTACGAAGTTTTACGTTGTAACTAACTGATAACCTATTTAAATAAACTTAAAACGAGGAAGACTAAGGTGATGTAGAATCAAGAGTATTAGAATTTAAGAGAAGACAAACAATGGGAGCACCTGCGCCATTGCAGACGGTTTTGATCCATGTCATTGAAGGTCTCTAACCATCTGTTGCTATTGTCTCGCGGACCTCAACCAGGTAGTCTACATCTACCAACATGGGTCAGTCCAGTTTTCAGTGACTTGATGGATTAGCTTTCTTCCATTTTATTCCTACACCACAAAACATCACTCGTTTAGGCAGTCAGTGGTCGGGCATACGTAACACATGTCCCAACCACCTTAACTGATGAAGTTTCAATACTTCATATATTGAATTGCCATCCTTACTTAGTACCCTTTTCCTAACAACTGCCTTGCTTATTCGATATTCCCAAGATAAACGAGCAATGCTTCGGAGATAGATACCAATGGTTGAAAATCAGTAACCTACGAATATCTTTTACTCTGACTGGTAATATTTCACAGCATTAAAGTAGGACGGAGCAAAGTGCTGTGTAGTACACTCGTTCATTCGTTAGCAGATGGGTATCTCGCGTATGCTATAAATGACTCAAGTTGTCAAAAGCCAATGGAGGCTTCTGTATCCGTGTTGAGATTTCGTCAGTCACCAGGCCATCAACACTGATAAGGCAGCTGGGATAAGTTCACAATGATGCAGGTGCATCCATTCTTTGTGTTCTTTCGAATTCTAACCTTCTGAACTCCCCATCACCTCTTTTTAAATTTATTTCACTGAATTATAATTATCGAATCATATATTTGATCCCTTTTCTTCTCTATTACTCCTAATACTTCTACTACCTCTACTACTATTGGATTTGGCTTGTCAATGCGATTTCTCTGCTAATGTAGTTTGGAAACTTGAACTGATATACCTACAAACGAAGTTCTACATTTTAGCTGACTGACTGACTGACTTAAAATTACACTTTTTTCGTTACGTGAGTTCATGCTTTCCTCCTGAATCATTTTTTCTGTAACTAATCCGTTTGACTACTAGTAATACTACCACTTCTTTAACTCTGGTATTCTTCTCATTATGGTGATGTGGCCTGGAAACTTGAACCCATCTGCATATTTGCCAAATCCTTTGTTGTTGACTGACCGCTATCACTACGCCTAGTCTAGTGATAACATCCTAATCGAGTTGCTTTGTCTAGAAATTAGTTCCTTGGATGTTATGTATCCATATTTTGTGTAAGTACTAGGTAGTTCAATCAATGAAGTATATTTAAACATGTATATTGTCTATAAATTTAGGGTTTTACACATTCTAAACTGAATTAAAGTAAGCCTAATCATTCTTGTCAGTCAAATATATTCCTTGGTTTAAAAGTTTAAAGTTTTCACTACTTCTTCCGGGTTTAGTGTCTCACTTGAACATTATTACAAACCATTTTGAATTAACAATTGAAATGAATTTAAATAATAAGTAAAACTCCAAAATGTATACTTTTAAGTTCATTCGGTTGCAACTGCTTTATTGTTTTGTCGAGGTTTATAGATCTAGTCATTCAGATTTCAAACAATGGACCGTGCTTGCTTAACCACTGTTTCAATTCATTCAGTTTAGTCAACTTGGTAGAATGACTAATTCTCCAATGAACAGCATAACTCAAAACTGAGTACATAAGACCATATCTGGTACATAATTTAAGTTCAGTGAACTTCGGTTATATCCCCAAATGACACGAATAAGATATTATGAACTGACATTTTCACCAATTGACATGAGTTTGAATCACTGAGAAAACACTCACTCATATATATACTCTTTCCTTATGATCACTAACAACCAAAAAACGTTTATCTAGGGTTTTTCGTAGTTTCTTTTAGAACCAACCACTGTAACTTGTCGACCGATATTTTACCTCACTCGAATATATAAAATTATGTTGGTTATTCGCTCAATACAGTCGAAAATTTCGGTTTCGGATTTTTTTGGTTACGTTAGCATCATAATGAACAATTATTTATCATTAACGTAGCAATCGTCCCACTTCTCACTAGTGCAGAGAGGTGTTAACTAAGTAGAAAATACAAGCTGAGAAATAGTATCAAAACTGAAACTTTGAACACGAGAAATAAAGTTTAAGAGAAATATTTGCAATCAAAAAATAGCGCGAAGTGGTGTTAAGCCCAGAACCTAGTATACGAGTTAATTGTTTTTCTTGGGTAATATTCTGTATAGTTATACTTTGTTTCTACTAGTAGTAATATTGTAGTGAAGGAGAACACAAGTGAGGGCAACCGAATTGTATTTACAACAATTAAAGAGTTACTCAGTAAAATCGGAAAACCATATCGTAAATCGTTAATTTGCAAAATATCAGTCCATCATATCGAACTGGACTGTTCCTGTTGCAAAACATCAATCCATTGTCACTATTCATGCGTTTCATACAAATTCCATTGTTTTCTAACTCTTCCTTTCTTGATTTTCCCCCATCTTCTGCTGCCAGACATGACGTTGACATTCACGTCATATACTACTTATAAGTAGCTCGCACCACAATATCACTTGTGTTAGTGATATTCGTTCTATTATAGTAATATGATGTGACGACTTTAGCTGACAAATATATGCCTGATTCTGTTTTGCGCATAACTGATTGAATTGCCCTTAGTAACAATACCTCATAAATCATAATGTGTACGTTAACTGAGTCCTTTATAAAGCATATCTTCACTGTTTCAGTTCACAAAAGCATTATTGACTGAACTTACTACTCTACATGAGTTATCTCCTGAGTTAGTGATTCGGCTAAACCGAAATATTATGTGTATGATGAGAATCTTTATCATTGGTATTGACTATTCACTATATTGACGCTCACATACATCCTTCAATATGTATCCAAACAATTCACTGAAAATGAAATTCATGTAAACTTTCTTAGTATCTCTTAGTTTAGAATTCATAAACTAGTGCTTATTGAAAACAAAGGCTTCCAGTAATCAATAATCTTGTTTGATTATATATATATATATATATATATATATATATATATGCTTACTTCACTTAAGTAACATAGCGTAATCGATATTTTATCTACCTTCGTTGACAGCAGTACATTCCATACAATATATATGCTTTGTATTGTACATTTGTTTTATGATTTTTGTCCTAATGGCGTATTTCAAAGTTAAGCGTCATTGCTGTATTTTATATATATATATATATATATATATATATATTCACTTATTTAAATATCCAATGACAATGCTTAACCTAAAGATATCTAAATTGAGTTTCATGTCAAGTCGTATTATATATCGATGATTAATTCTTTCATATAATTTATCTAGTGTATTTGAAATTTTTAAATCAAAATTATTGTTTGATTTGGAAACTAATTTCAGATATGTCATTTTACTTTATGTTATTTTTATTCACTTGTACTACTGATTGAATGCTTTGTTAATCTAATTGTTGAATAAAATTAGAGCATAAAATAATTCTGGGAAACATTTTAGAGATTTAATTACTCTTACTGTATGTAATGGTGATGTATTATTTATTCTATATGGTGTTATTTTATGTTATTGAACTAATTGACGTTCTATTCTAACATCATGATAGTGGATGTAAACTTCCTGTTTATATGGTCTAGGAGTCAAGTCAAGTCATACGTACATACGTACATCACTGTTCAAGTTGCCATACCACATTAGCACCGAGAGATGACAATTGTCAATCCAAATCCCATAGTAGTAGATGTAGTTAAAGTATTAGCAGTAATCAGAGAGATTAAGGTTTGAAGATATTATTCAAGATGTAGAAGCTAGTGAAAGAAACTGAAAAAAAAGATACAGATGATGAGGAACTCCGAAGGTCAGGATTTGAGAGAACACAAAGAGTGGATGCACCTGCGTTATTGCAAATGGTTTTGAGCTATGTCATTCAGGGTCTAGGAGTAGGGTAATTGTAATCTATGGTTGAAGACATTAAATAGTACTGCTTCAAATCGATGATAGTAGTTGGGTTTTACTCATTCTTCGATTGCAGTTGTTCCTTTCGAACTTTAGTTTTCATGTTTAGAAATTCTATTTTCAATGTTCTCATTCAGCGCCTTACATCTGGTTTATATTAAGTCGAGTCATTGGGTATCTTTTCATGTTCAGTGTTCTCTACAAATGACCATATCATTGAGTTACAGTTTATGGTTACTTTTCACTTTGATTTGGTCAGTTTGTAGTGTATGTGCCAATATGTTGAGTCCACTGGTTTTGTTTTAGCTTTTGAACAAACTAACTAACCTTTTATTGTAACGCTTGCTTAGATAATTTCCAACTAAATCCTATTGCTTAGTATTCTCTGACCACAATACACTGGACAAGTTCCAAAGAATCAAAAACACGGTGGAACAGGAAAAGATTATATTCCAAATAGCAAGGTTAAATGGAAATACGAAGCCAAAGGCCAAGGCGAATAGATACAACGTTAGTTTCTTTACATGAGAAGCCTTTGGATAGAAATTCACGTGATTGACTGGATTACATTTAGCCAATCAGCACGCAGCTAACAATACGAGAATTTTCTACTCTGTTCTCCAAGAATCGTTCAGGCGCTGATTGGGTAGGAAACTAGCCAATCAGCGCGTAGCAACGTAGTCATGCTTTAATTCCGTCAGTGTCCCACTAACACATTTTATCCCCAAGTCATTGTCCAAACGTCTTTTGACCTTGCCACTTATTCGCTTATATCTTGGTATTTTTTATTCCAGTATGTTCATGATTACTTCGCTTGTTACACGTCTGACTACAAATACTTAGTCATGCCTTATGATAGAGTTGGCTCACTTGGCTTCTCCATTTCGCTTCGTTTTGGTTGTGTACTTTTCGTTATCGTGTCTGTCTACCTAAATGAATGCATGAAATAAATTCATTTATAAACCCTATCTGGCTTAATACTGTCGTCTCACAAACGGAGTTCGCCTAAGTATGATACGCGGAAACGGAAAGGAAGATTTATTTCAAAGTATATCTAGTCGTTCATCCGAACTGGAGTCAGATCGCGGGCCACAAAAGTGAACCTTACTTCGTATTTAACACAGCCATTGTAAGCCTTTTACTATCACCAGTCTGTACATAATGTGAAGCTGTACAGAATAATTTAACCCATTTACAGACTAATGCACGCGGCTTTGAGTGATGGTTTGTTTGTGAGAGCTGGTGCTACCGTTAGGATATTCATCAAATATCCTAAGAGAACTATTTTTGGAAGTCTAACTTTCATGTTGTTTCTTATTCTACCTAAATGTATAAATACGCACTATCTGTAATGTTTTATGACCCGGACCGGGATCCGTGTCTTTTTCTATACTCGGACCTTGTACTTTCTGGAGGTTTGTAGAATACAGGTTCTACTTCATATCAAGTCTTCTTTTACTCCATGGGGGGGGGTTGGGACAGTCTGATTAGAGTAGCCTGTCGTGTCGCCGGATCCTCGATCCTCGCTCTCGTTTTCCGACTATAGTAAACTCGTAATAGTTCAAGCATATCAAATGGCGTGTTTACGTGCATTCGTAACAGCTGCTATCCGACTATTCAGTCTGAAGTTTACTGAGTGAATGTGAACGTTTGATCTGGTGGTTTTAACTCGGACACTTCAATTATTATGAAAACGCTTAAACCTGGGTAGTAATTAATTTAAACTAGTGTATTATCAATATGAATATAGGAGAGTGATAAATATTATAAAAACTATTAGTCACAACTGATGAATACAGTATTTGATTAGTGTTGGCTAGACAAAGACTTGCTCAAAGCATGCTTGAGACAACAATACAATGCAACGCGCCCTGATTGGCTCATTTTCGGCCAATCAGGGGGTGAGCAACGATGACTAGAGTTTATGTGTGTGAAGTTATGTCATACGCTGACATTTTAGGCGAGATTATAATTGATGCATAAACACTTAAATGATACTGAAGTCCTCTTAAGAAACGCCTATCCCTTAATAGGATTGTAAATTAATGTAAATAATTAAGATTGAGATTGGGAGTTTTTATCGCGCACATATTATTTGATCGTATTAATGAGTTTCTCTCCAAAACTTAAAATCTGATCTGCTCGTTCAAATTTTATTACTTGACCGAAGATGTTGTCTTGTTTGGAATGTATTTATGTTTGATCCAAGATGTGTTTTTATTTAGAAATCAATCGAATGAGTGAGAAGTCCAAGAATATTATGGGGAGAACTAAGAGATTTAACTCTATTAGTTTTCTGATTCATCCGTGGTTAATCCATTTACATCTATGTTTTATTGATTTTTCCTGATATCTTAGAATTTCTGTTACTGTTTATTGATCTAATCAGTCTTTATTGCTTCAACTTGTCAGTCTAGTCTACTTGAACTTATTCACAAACTGATCTGGCATACAATAAATAGATGTTAAAACATTTTCTGTTAGCTTTGTAATACACTTTTTTAAAACAATTGAACTAGTTCCCGAACTGTATTCAAAGACCGATATTCTCTCTTCTATTTTTGAATATGAATACAGTTTAAGTTTATTAGATGTCATTATTTAGGATTATTTTATTGATTAGTAGTGACCGTTTAGAATACAGTCTAACTGAAAACAATCTGTTTATTGATTGGTTTTGTTTCCTTAATGTTCTTATCCAATACTTTTTTTTTTAAAACCCATTCTATTCCTACCTATATATATATATATATATATATTTACAGGCAGAACCAAGTTGGTTATCATCACAGACATCATTTATGACAATGTCAGATCCTAGTGATTCATCTACAGCTATTTCAAATAATTCATTCGATGAAACATTTGCATCGAATAAATTTTCATCGAATTCTTTTAGAAATTCTTCTCTATTACAATCTGATGAATTAGAAGATAACAGTTATGGTGATGTGGATAGAAGAGAACAAGTGGAAGCAGAAACAGAACGAGTAGAAGATAAACAACAACCGCAGCAGCAGCAGCCGGAGCTGAAGAAAAAAAGGACAGGAGTCACTTTAGTCTATGCTCCAGAGAAATCAGCTACTCTATTCAATACTTCCACACAAAATTCTACTGTACCAATTCAATCAAATGACAAAGTAATGATTATTCATTCAAAACAAGATAATGGTAATCATAACGATGATGCTGATGATAATGATGATGATATTGATAGTAGCAATAATAATTACACCGAGAATCATTCATTCACTAACAAGCATGACATTGAATCAACAATGAATTCTTCAATGCAATTCAATAGAACATTGTCTTCTTCTGCTTCCAATGAAGAAAATCTCTCGCAATCCAATCATCAACATTCACACATAGTAATAGAAGAATTGACTAATTCAAATAATATCTCACATAGCAATTCATCTGATCAATTTTCATCTGATAATTATGATAATCATAGTAGTGAATTATCGAATTATGAAGATCCATCCGAAGGTATTGGTGATGATGATCATAATACTAATACTACTACTAATACTAGTATTAATAATAATGTTAATCTTAATCATAATAAAGATAATCATTACAATAATACCGATAATGTTCTGTCCACATCTCCAGCGGTACTTACTTCGTCGCCTTCTTCATTGGATAATCATAAAGATTTATCAATTTTATCTATGATGGAATCAGAGAGTTCATCTAAAGACATTCTAACTACTACTACTACTACTACTACTAGTAGTATTAGTAATAATAATGATGTTAATAATAATAAAAATGAATCTTATACTAACAATACAATAAATTTTGATGAAAATAATAATAGTACTACAATGTTACAAAATCAACAAGAACTCAATACAAACACTTCATCTATTATTCATCCAATTAATCAACATATCAATAATACATCACCAGTTAACTTAACTACACTTTCACTATCTGATAATTTCATTAAATCAACCATATCCACTGATCATGACGTTAATGATAAGGATGGTGATGATGATGATGATGATGACGCTCTGTTCCAATCAAATTTAAATAATAATCGAACACAAGGAAATTATGAATCAGATGATGAAGTCACAAAGACATTTTTAAATATTCATGATCAATATAAGCAGACAATGAATACATTTAATGAACAACCAGTACCTTTATATTTGGATCGTTGTTCACCTGCACAAATTGTAGCTGTAACCGGTGGAGCACCATTCGATATAATACGTGATATTGAAGAGGATTTCTACGACGGTAATGATGATGCTGATGTTCGTGATGGTGATAATGTGGTTGAAGTACTGAATACAAATGTAAAGCGTGACGGTGATTCATCTGCTTCTCCTGTAAATTCTGATCATATTGTCCGAAAACGTGGTCATACTACTTCAGAGTCATCAAAGCCAGTATCTATTAATATTGATTTAAGAGTAAGTCAATCATTATTCATAATTCGTAATTCACTAGTAGCTTTTTATTTCATGTAAATGTCTATCCGATAGCTGATCAATATTTTTTCTGCATTAGAGAAATTCGCTTTTCACATTTGACATCTCTCTCTTGATTAAAATAATTGAAATTTTTTGTTATCGTCTAGGTTAGTTGTTATAATTAGGTTGATATCTTTCACTATTAGACCACCATTAGAAACCTGGAACCTGAGTAACCGTATTGTCCTGGTATGTGACCCATCAGCAGTGCTCATCCATAACTCCCGCGACTCGCAGGACTCAAACCCCGGGGCCTTCGGTTTTGCGCTCGAACCTCTAACCTCTGGACACCGCTAGGCCGGCATCTGACGGTGTTAATGTCTAACTTTGATCAGTTCATGGTGTTGCGCAATCTCATCCACTGTCTTCGGTGAGCACTGCTTCACATTCAAATAGGGTTGAACTACACTAGTCACGACTTCTCACTAGAACTTGGAGATACTTCTTCACGGAGCTAGTTATTAGTAAGGACATGTAATTTGCATTATAATGTAATATCTTTTAAATAATTTCTAAAAATTGATAGGCCATAGTTAGTTCTCTTGTTTTTCTTCTAAAATATTAAATTTATCCTCATGTGATGGATGCTACTCACAAGTAGAATGTAGCGTAGCATTGCTCAAAAGTTAATATCGGAGAGAGGAGTGTCTGGAGATCGAAATGCGCAGCGCGACTAAAGTATATCGAAGACTAGAAGAGATGTGAGGTTTACATTGCAAACGGATGTCGGAACAAACTGTCTTCTCTAGATAGATATAATATTCTATCTGCACTTGACTTCCATGTATGATACACTGCAATAGTAGTTCTCAGTCTTAAGAATTCCTAGCATTCGGAACTACAACAGGAAAATAATGCAGTTTAATTCACTCTGTAGTTATATGAAAGATTTTTGATTAGTTTGAAGTATTAACCTAGTTGAATTAAGGTTGGAAATTAGATGTCAGTAACTTACAAAAAGACTAATTTTTTCCTGTTTGCCAGTCAATGAAAATTGAGTGTATCTGTATGAGATAGTTTTCATAGTTCCTAATTTACTTGACTGAAGCGGTGTCTGTGAATCAGACAGTTAGTCAGCTACAGCATGGAACTTGGTACGCGCGTGCACCAGTTCAAGTTGTTATACTATATTAGTACAGAGAGACGGAATTGTCAATTCACATCTCATAGTAGTAGAGGATGTACAGTATTAGCAGTAACGGAAAGATTGGGGATCAAAGATGTAATTCCGGTGAAATGAACCAGTCAAGCGAAATGGGAAACACTGGGATGGTTTCAGACGTGGATGGTTGTGCAACATGGCCACTAAGAATGGAGGATGTTCGTAAGTTACTAGTATTCGATCATCAGTTTTGCTTGCATATCCTTGGACCACCGAGTAAGAAATGCTAAGGCTAGGAAAAGGTTACCCGGTAAGGATGGAAAATCCATAGATGAAACAGTGAATCTTCATCAATCGAGGTGTTTGTGACATGTTAGTGGGACATAAATGGAATTAAAGCATGACTACGATGTTGCGCGCTGATTGGCTAATTTCGTATCCAATCAGCCCCTGATCGATTCTTGGAGAACAGGGTAGAAAATTCTCGTGTTGCTAGCTGCATGCTGATTGGCTAAATCTAATCCAGTCGGTCACGTGAATTTCTATCCAAAAGCTTCTCATGTAAATACTATAAAGAATCTAACGTTGTATCTATTTCGCCTTTGGCTTCTTATTTCCATCTAACCTTGCTATTTGGTATATAATCTTTTCCTGTTCCACCGTGTTTTTGATTCTTTGGAAATTGTCCAGTGTATTGTGGTCAGAGAATACTGAGCAATAGGAATTAGCCGGGAATTATTCAAGCAAGCGTTACAACATGACACGTGTTACGTGTGCCTAACCACTGACCACTTGGATAAGCAATTTCTGGTTTAGGCGTAGGCTGGAAGAAAGTTAGAGGCGACCAAACCAAAACATGGCACAAATCTATGAAGTCATTGACAAGTGGACTGAGCCATATTAGTAAGTGTAAACTACCTTGTTCTGGTCCGCTAGAGACTGTTAGAGACTTTGAATGACGTGGCTGAAAATCGTGTGCAATGGCGCAGGTGCATCCATTCTTTGTCTTCTCTCAAATTGTAATCTTCTGAACTCCTTATGACCTTTCTTTATTTTTAAGTTTACTTCACTGGATTGTACTTCTCAAGCCATTTATTCGATCCTCAATCTTTACCATAACTACTACTTCTGCTACATCCTCTGCTACTATGAGATTTGAATTGACAATTCCATCACTCTGTGATAATGTGGTGTTGGCAACTTGAACTGGTGCATTTACATGTACGAAGTGTAAAAATAAGTCCACATGTTATTGTTTAAACCATATATTTGTTTGTTTGTTGACTTGAATTTCATTGGTTAATTAAAATTTTATTTCTTTATTGTACACTATTTTTGTTTCTAATTTTTCGATTAAATAAAATAATCTATACTTTTCAAATTGTCAAAAGATAATTTCAATCTAACCTTACAATTGATACCAATTCGATAGAGATAATAAATTAATTTATCTTAAAATATTATTTCTTCTTTTGTATTTCGTTCAAAGGTTGTTTCAAAATTAACTCCAAGTACTCCAGAAGAAGTGGATGCTTCATCAGAGCTAGTTTTTAGCAATTTTATGATAAATCGTTATATGTTAGAAGTTTCTGCATCAGCTCACGTATCTTCATCACAACAGTCTACTGCTTCTACTTCAGCTTCAATTCATTTGTCAGGTATCAATCCAGAAATTGAATCTGACGATCCTGTAAGCCATCAGCTGTCAGCTTTACCTCGTGCTGAACCACATAGGTAGGTTGTTTTGGTCAGTGCTTTTCTTTTTTTTATCAATGATGGTAAATTATTCAATTATATAAACTAGAAAAAAAAATTGAATCAGTTCAAGTTTCCATCATACTACATTAGTGCACAGATATCGAATTGTCGATTTCAATTCCATAGTGTTAGTAGAGCTAGTAGTAGTAGTATTATCGGTGGTCAGAAAGATAGAGGTGATGAGGAATTTATAAGATTAAAATTTGAGCAAGAAGACAAAGAGTGGATGTACTTGCGCCATTGCAGACGATTTTGAGCTATGTCCTTCAAGGTTTGTAATGATTAGTTACCATTGTCTTGCAGACCCCAACCTGTTAGTCTACATCTCTCCCAACATGACTCAGTCCAGTTGTCAGTGACTTCATGAATTTGTGTTATGTTTTGGTTAGACTGCCTCTAGCTTTCTTTTAACCTATTCTTACACCACAGAAATAGCTTGTCGGGGCAGTCGATTGTTGGGCTTAAGTATCATCATCACTGATGAGACTCCCCAGAAAAGTGTAGACCGCTTCACTTATCTCCGGAGTCTCATCGGTGACTGACGAAATCTCAGCTCGGATACAGAAGGCTCGATTGGCTTTTGCTAACCTGCGTCACTGATGGTGTAGGCGAGATGTCCGCTTGCTAACCGAAAGACGAGTGTACTGTGCAGTAGTTCGCTCCGTCTTACTTTATGACTGTGAAACGTGACCAATGAGAGTAGAAGATATTCGTAGGTTTCTTGTTTTCGATCAAACGTGTCTTCGAAGCATTGCTCGTATATCGTGGGACACCCGAGTGAGCAACGCTGTTATTAGGAAACGGGTGCTAGGTAAGAATGGCAGATCAATAGATGAAGTAATGAAACTTCATCAGTTGAGGTAGTTGGTACATGTGCTGCGTATGCCTAACCACCGACTGCCTCGAAGAGCTTTGTTTTGTAGTGTAGGAATAGGTTGGAAGAAAGCTAGGGGCAGTCTAAACAAAACATGACAGAAATCCATGAAGTCACTGACATGTGGATTGAGTCATGTCGGTAGTTGTCGACTACCTGGTCGGGGTCCGCGAGATGATAATAATCGATGGTTAGAGGCGCTAAATGACATGGCTTCAAATCGTTCGCAATGGCGCTGTTGCATTTATTCTTTGTGTTCTCTCAAATCCTAATCTCCTGGATTCTTCAATACCTCTAGTTTTGTCTTTGTAAACTTATCTCACTAAATCATACTTCTTGAATAATATCTTCTAATCCTAACCTCTCCGATTACTTCTAATACCTTTACTACCTCTTCTACTAGTGTATTTGAATTGACAATTATGTCTCTGTGCTGATGTGGTATGGCAACATGAACTGATGTACTTACGTACGAAGTTCTACGTTGCATCTGACTGACTGACTGTATCAGTAATAAAAGTCCCTCTTTTTGTTTTGTCAGTTGGTAAAGTCTGGGTTGAGTTATTGGCAGTATGGTACAGGTTTAACTTGCAGATATTTTATGTTTGTGTACTCACTATTGCGTTGTTGTCTTGAACTATGTAGCTTAACAAAGATAGCTTGAAGCTTGACTTTAACGTAACATACTTATGTAAGCCTGATATCCCTCGTGGGGTATAGGCCGGTAATCAAGAATCTTCCATCAACTCTGTCCTAGACTCTTCTTCCCGGCTGTCACCAAGTGATATTCATAATCTTGATGTCTGCCTCCAGTTTTCGGTATCATGTGTACTTCCATTTATTTCTCCCCCTTTTTCTTTTGAGGATCTGTGAATGATCTCTTATCCACTTCTAGCGTCTTATCCTAATCTCTTCCTTATCTGACAACTTGTTTGTTCTCTACCAGCGTAGGCTATTGTTATGTTTTCTGGTCGACGGATCTAGAATATCTTGCATAGACAGCTATTCATAAATACCTGTCTTTTTTTGATGATAGTCATAGTAGTTCTTGAAGTTTCACCGCCATAAAGTAGGACTGCTTTAACGTTAGTATGTGAAATTCTAACTTTGATGTTGCGTAACAGTTTTTTAGTTACAAATATTCTTCAATTGTAGAATCCTACCCTTGTTGCATAAGTAATTTGTTTGCGTATTTTCTTGTGCATGGGATAGAAGGGCTAAGTTATCTTCAAAGTCCTGATTGTCCGGCTGACTCCTAGGTGTTCATTGTGTTTCATGGTCATTCTCAGATGTGGAGGTCTCCGTAATCCTCCAGTCAAGACCTAGCAGAAAGAGGAATGGTCAGAGTAAGCAGTCTGTTGAACACTAGTACTTACTTGGAATGCAACAGTGAGCAACCCTCTATGTACAACTTTCCGATTCAGTCTGTTGTAGAAGTTCTATATCATCTTGATGAACGTTCCAGGTACTCTATAATGGAAAAGAGAATTCTACAAGGTTTCCCCATCATCACTATCAATTCCTTTCTCATATTAAGGAAGTTGATGTACTACAGCCTCGAGTTCCATTCATTTGATTACTCAACAGTAATTTACAGTGCTACAATTGAGTCAGTACGTAATCAAATCTTACAAAACCCACCTTGATCTCGAAGTTGAGAGTAGTAAATCTTTCATTCGGTTCAGCAACACTGTTGAAGACTTTGCCTGTTACTAACATTAGTATAATCCCTCTTTTGTTCTCACACACTAAGATCTCCTTTCTTCAGTATCTTACTAAGGTATCCCACTTTCTAGTCTGCTGGGACCTATTCTTCCTTTCAAATTTCTCTGAAGAGAACGCGGAAAAACTTTGTAGTTATCTCTTTCTCTGACTTCAGCACATCAACTGGTACGTTGTCTTGTCCAGCTGCTTTGCCACTTCTGACGTCGGTAAGGAATCGTCTATTGGAAGGTCTTTTTGTGCTGCTTGCTTTCATAGTGGATTCAATGAGGCTAGTTTATTTAAAAGCTCTTTCTAGTGCTCTGTTGCTATTGAATCTCATTGATTGCTTTGCCTTCTTTTTCCTTGACTGATCACTCTAATTTGCTTACCATATTTTCCTGCTAAGCCATCTTAATTGTGTCTCATATGATTCTCTCATATTTTGTTCTCTTTCAGCTTTTCTTTTTTACTGTGGTTCTCATGTCTTTTCTACATATTTACGCATATCAGCCCTAATGCTTTTGTTTGTTGCTTGTTTGTTCACTTCTATGTCCATTAACTTTCTCTTTTCTAATTCGACTGTTGTTAGTAGCTTGAAGCACTCACTTCACCTACACATCTAATTTGGTTTAAGCCCTTCGAATAACTTGTTTAACAGACATTGTTATTTGGGCTTTTTATAATTTGTCAACTTATTTCTCCTATTATTAGTACTGTTTTCATGTTTGTATGGGGATGTAGGCTTGTATATTTGTATACAACCTACTCGCATTTTCCTTTTACTAACTTAAATGTTAATTACCTAAATCAATGGATGACTCATTCATTTTTCTTTTATTTGTATGCATCCTATTCATCCGTTCTTCCGCATTCTCATGTTCGTTTGTATTTGCTTCATGTGCTTGTGTTTTTGTGAGCTGATTTGTACCATGATTAACAGTGGCACCTGAACTAGTGATAGGGAGTGAAGCAGTAGAGCATGTCGACCACTTCATGTATCTGGGATGTCTCATCAGTGCTGATGGCCTGATGACTGACGAAATCTGTGCACGGATACAGAAGGCTCGATTGCCTTTTGCCAACTTGCGTTACTTATGGCGTAGGAGAGATATCCGACTACTAATCAAAAGACAGACAGACAGACAGATACAACGCAGAACTTCGTACATAAGTACATCAGTTCAGGTTGCCATGCCCCATCAGCACAGAGACGCAACTGTCAGTTCAAATCCAACAGGGATAGCGATAGAAGAAGTATTAGCAGTAATGGAGAAGATTAGGGAGCAAAGATATGATTCGAAAAGTATAATTCAGTGATATAAATTTAGAAGGCGAAAGGTAGAGAATATGAGGAATGCAAAAGCTTAGAATTTCATAGAACACAAAGAGTGGATGCACCTGCGCCATTGTAAACGATTCTGAGCCATGTCGTTCAAGGTCTCTAACCAAAAGTCGAGTCTACTGCGCAGCAGTTCGTTCCGTCCTACTATATGGATGCGAAACATCGCTAATCAGAGTAGATGATATTCGTAAGCTATTAGTATTCGATCACAGGTATCTTCAAACCATTGCTCGTATATCCTGGGACAACTGGGTAATCAATGCTGTCGTTGGGAAACCGGTCCCAGGTAGGGATGGCAGATCAATAGATGAAGTAATGAAACTTCATCAGTTGAGGTGGTTGGGACATGTGTTATGTATGCCTAACCACTGACTGGCTCGTCGAACTATGTTTTGCGATATAGAAATAGGTTGGAAGAAAACTAGGTGCGGCCAGATCATGAAGTCACTGACAAGTAGACTGAGTCATTTTGGCAGATGTAGACTACCTGGTTGGGGCCAGCGAGATGATAATACTTTATGGTTAGAGTCCCTGAATGACATGACTCGAAAACGTTTGCAATGGTGCAGGTGCATTTATTCTTTGTGTTCTCTCAAATCTTAACCTTCGGAGCTGCCCATCACTTTATCTTCCTCTTTTCAAGTTTCTTTCACTAGATTATACTTCTTGAATAATACCATCGAACCCTAATCTCTCCATTTCTACTATATGTACTACAATGGGATTTGAAGTGACGATTGAGTCTGTGTGCTAATGTGGTATGGCAACTTGAACTGAAGTACCTACGTACGAAGTTCTACGTTATAACTGACTGACTGATAAACGGTAGTCAATGTTTCGTGTATTTGTCTTTAGAAATGTATGCAACGTTGGATGTTATCTTAATAATGGTTATCAGAATGAGTAATATACAAAATTAAGGAATTGTTTCGAACATAATTTGCTACCACCTACTCTTTCCTTGTTTCTGTCTTTTGAATTTTCTCATGAAGATCTTTTTAGATCCACTCCTGGTGTTTTTTGCCGCCTAGCTCATACTGATATATTGAAGTTATTGGTTCTTTAATCCCTTCCCAGTTTTTATTCGCATTAATTTCCTGTTCTTGTAAGGATTAGGACTTGTGGCTAAGATAAACTTTGAACCCGCTGAGATTGTTAACATCTCAATGGATAACTATTGAAATTCTCCAATAGTGCTTGTCCAATTGTCCAGTACTTGTTTAGCTTCAGTTTTAGCTTGTCCATCGTCAGGTGATGACATTTGAAGCTGTATCAACTTCTCTCTTTGTTTTTACATCTTTCATGAACCGTTCGAACTTTTTTGGATGTAGATATGATCGATCTGGTTCTTTGTAGTGGGGTCTGGTGAAAACCATGTAGCTTTGTATTTGTGTTTGTAAGGGGAAATGGTACACATATACCTCTTTCCATACTCATTTCTTTCTCTGAGTAGATGTCACCCTATAATCCATTCGTATCCAGTGTTGTCTATCCCGACCTTATCATTTAGATCTCTCATCAGAATGGTAAAGTCTCTTCTTAAAGATTACTCTAAGATGGACTTGCTCCTCTCATAAAAATAATCTTTTTTGTCTTCATTGCGATATTTGGTGGAGGGATAGCGCTCGGTGATATTCATTGTAATTCCTCCTTCCTTATTTGAAGGATGCTTTGTTAATCCTTGAGCTATATATTTCCTATTCTTTGAGAACTTTTTGTGCTATTTTAATGGTCTTCCCATTCTGCTTTATTGTTCGGACATTGTATGTACCTGAATTAGTTGTTACTTTAGTTTTCAGACTAGGGCATCGACCTCATGGTTTGTAAATACTCTTGGTTTCCATTCTTAAGTCATGACAAATCTTTTACATGAAGACCTTTCAATTCTTAGGGCATAGTTTATATGGTTTAATTTATTTCCTCTGGTTAGCTTTTTTCCGATGATGTTATTTTTACGGGGTGTAGTGTCTAGCCCTTAGCCAGGTCCTCCTGTGTCTGGGCTTGTAACCAGCAGTGACTCGAGCGGGCTCCAGGCGTATTTGACGTAAAACTTACTCGCTGCTAGTACTACTACTTCTCACCAACAGGTATCTGCAATTTTGAAGGTACTGATCCTCCTTATGAGATTTGGACCTACCTCATTCAGTGTAACAGATAGGTTACCGCTAAGTTATTCGAACTACAACTAACCTGAACATGATGTTCAGTTGTTTAAACTCGTCTTTATTTTAAATCGGTCGATAAAATTCGGACAATCTTTGAACTATCAGTCGATAAATTACGTGTTCAAACTTTGATTTATCGATCGAATTCAGAGGCAACTGACTCATGTTCTAATACACTAACCACTGCGTCTTTTCTGCAAAAAACAATTCATAATATAAATCAACTTTAAGCAAATCATACTGTTTGTGCCACCTCCAGCTTCTGTAATCGAATTCGATGCTGAGGGGGGAGGTTAGACATGTAACTCACTAGTTGTTTCATATTTAACGTTCGAGCCTTTATTGTTGTATCATTATAAAGAAGACTGTGAACACTTTGTGTTATTTAAAACACGCTAACTATTTGCTTTCATGTATATTTGTTAGTTATCTTTAGTAGTAGTAGTAGTAGTAATAGTTAGTAGTTATTCACTGTTTATTCTAAATTTCTGTTCTGCTTAGTATTGAAGCAATCGTTGCTCGTAATCTAGCCGAAATCGGTGATGAAATCAATCGTATATACGGATCAAGATTAGATAGAATGATTAAATTACTACCAGTGGAGGATTGTCCATTGGAAATGTTCTATAATGTTGCTCGTGTGTAAGTTAAATCACTTGTTGATAATTTTTCCAATTATTGTAATCATTATTTTTGGTTATTATTATTAATAATTAATTAATTAAGAGTTTTTAAATACTCGATGGTAATTAACCTGACTGTAGCTGCTACTTTAGTGTGGTGGTCGGACTTTCCTATCGTGATGATCCAACCTAGCTATATTTGCTGGAAAATATGTTCCTGTAGGTTCTACCATGCTAGGTAGGTCGATTTGAGAACGAGGAGACTAAAAACAACTTCTCTAGGTTTGAGGGCGAAGTCGTACTGTTGAGTGACTGTAGACGGGTGTGACAGCAGTAAGGAGTTTCTGTTGAACAACCAGTATCCGTAGCGATGCTGCCTTTTCACAAGGAAGGAAGGAGTTAGAAAAGGTCGACCCTAAAAATGTCACACTTCACCTTATCTCATGGTCTTCCATTTCCGGTGGTAAAGCCTTTTGAAGAGCGGAGCTAAAAAATTCCCATAAAAAGGCCATGCGTGACCGGTTTTAAGCAGTTTTCCTTTGGGCTCTATGGTTAAGCTGCCAGGTCGCTAAGACCAACACTAATCCAACTTCTTTTCAAGAAGCATCCTTCCATAGTGTAGGCAACCGCGAAGTGACATCCGCCTTCATACTCATAACATCACACAAGACCGAATCGGTCACAATCACATCCTTCCAATTAATTGATGATAATTAAAATTAATCCGTTAACTAGAAAAATTCAGACAAAATAATTTATTGCGATGTTGTAGCACAACCAAGATATTCTCGATATTCTTGTTAGAACAAAGTTAATATTTTTTTCTGAAAAACCTGGACTATTTTATTGTTGTCTCACTATTAAACACTTACATTATTGCGTTCTTGAATTTTACTATTTTGTGAACTTTCATTTGGCCCGGAAAACTCATAGTGAGTTTCGTTTTCACTTATGGCCTATTTATGAGTATGTCGTAATTTCTTCCTTATGTTGATGTCATTTAAATTAAGCTGTACAACAGAGAAAGATATCGTCTTGTTAACTACCTCTCCTAGAAAAACATTGAAGTAGAATGGCTTGAATGACCAAGAAGCGCTAAGATCTTGATCGTTAGTCGGAGATCATTCATCTTACAGACATTATAGGCCAGTAAATCAACAACTAGACTAGACGGTATAAGCATTTCTAAACTAATCAACTCAATCACATACGCTTCAATACAATATGAGAATTTTCTCTTTTGTTTCTGAAAGTATAACATTTCTTCTCTAGTCGAGTAATTTTAATAATCACTTGGCTCAATGAAATTGAAAGTTTCTAGTGAAACAGTTAAATGCAGAAACAGATTAGTAGTAGTAGTAGTAGTGGTTCATGCCGCACTACTGTTTACTTATGACATACTAAACTAAATGATGAATTATTTTATTACAATTGATGACAATAAGAAAAAAATATAGAAATTTTCTGGTTGACATTTTCTTGTAAAGTTTGTTTCCAACGGGATAGGATTGCTAACCCCAATGCCTAATCCGACATGGGATCGGCAGTAACTGTAGAAGGACTGCAGGCGGAGTTGACTATAAAAAATGTATTTCATAAATTTATTCAGGGATACTACCTCTAACTCAGGTCTCACGAAACAAAGGGTATTTGGAGTGTATGTGCCTGTTTGCATCAAGATGGGATGTATCTCTTGTCATCCTACGCCATATGTGTATACAATATGCTATACTGCTACATAGAGCGGAAGATTTGCTACTGGTGATTGTCTTGCAACATTCTTGAGGGCTATTGTCATTAGGGTTCTGTATTTCATATCACCATTGCTAATAATAATGAGTTTGACAGTCATGTACGCGGGATGGGTCGAAATGGCCTGTTAATGCGGTGCATATTGACTGACGCGATCATGGATCAGAAATAATCACCATATATGTACTAGTGTATATATAAATGGTGTAAATGGTCCACCAGAGTATCAGGTACCTGTGTGGTTGCACCACAGGATTGAACCGAACTGTTCATGTCGAAATGCTAACACGTGAGCAGTCTCCTTGGTTCTTCTGAAACCCACTGTAAAATTGCCCAGTCAGACCCTAGATACAACATAACCGTTTCTGCACTTTTTCAGGGGTTTAGTATTAACTATTACACACGACGTATCAATCATTCAGTCAGTTGCAACGTAGAACTTCGTACATGAGTACATAAGTTCATGTTGCTATACCAAAGTAGCGCACAGACGCAATTGTCACTTCAAATCCCACAGTTGTAGAGACAGTAAAATTATTGACGGTAATTTAGAAGATTATGGTTTGATCATATTATTTAAGTAGTATAATTCAGTTAAATAAATTTAGAATGAGAAAGACAGAGGTGATGTGGAGTTCAGAAAGTTAGAATTTGAGAAAAGACAAACAATGGATACAACGGCGCCATTGCAAACGATTTTCAGCCATGTCGTCCAACGCCCTTAACTATCGGTGACTTTCGTCTCACGGACCCCAACCAAGTAGTCTACATCTATAAAATACAGTCAGTCAGTTACAAAGTAGGACTTCGTACATGACTACATAAGTTCATGTTGCCATACCACATTAGCACAGAGACGCAAATGTCAAATCAAATCCCATAGTGATAAAGATAGTAGAGGTATTAATGGTAATGAAGAAGACTAGGGTTTGAAGATATTATTCAAGAAGTATAATTCAGTGAGATAAGGTTAGAAAGACAAAGGTAGAGGTGCTGACGAATCCAGAAGATTAGAATTTGAGAGAAGACAAACAATGGATACATCTGCGTCATTGCAAACAATTTCGAGCCATGTCATCCAACGCCTTCAACCATCGGTGACTTTCGTCTCAGGGACCCTAACCAAGTTAGTCTACATCTATGAAATACAGCACTCAGTTATACACACAATCATAATATTTTCTTATTGATGAGTTAACTTTCTTTGTAACTTACTACAACAACAACAACAACAAAAATTTAGTGAAACACTAAAATAATTAATTTTCTATTACACTTGATTTATTTTATTGAATCAATGGCTAATTGTGCTTATGTATGATTAATTATTCTCTTACATCAAAAAAAAAATTCGTTGTTACTAGACTATTTGCTCGTGGTCCAACGAATTGGGGTCAAGTGATCACTTTATTCTATTTCGGTTATCGATTAGTTGTGCAACGAGTTAAAAAAGGTATTGCTAATGCATTCTATCAAGTATGTCGATGTTTAATTGGTTTTTGTCGACAAATTAATATTTTCGTTTGGATAGCTCAACAAGGAGGATGGGTAAGTGTAAAAGAATTGATTTTTTTTTTAATGAGTTTATTTTGAATAATTTGTTATTATTTCTTGTGATCAAATGGATCTGTCATAAGATTGTCAAGTTTTAACATTCATTATGATATCATCTAATGTTTGAAGTTGTGAATGTTAAGGTTTTTGCTATTGACTGATGATTGTGTATGACAGGGGTAAAGTATTCTATCCCACCAGAAAATAATCGACAAGCTCATACAGAGTCATTGATTTTGCACAACGAAAGGAAGGTATAATAAATATGTCATATCTCACCCTACCCCACGAATTTATGTTTCCTACAGTTAAAGTCTTTGAAAATACAACGAGAACACAACTGTTAGTTTAACATTGAGGTTATTGTTATTTTTGGTTCTGCGTTTGTCGTAAATATTCAAGAGTAGTATAGGTCGTGTATACCTTGAGGCTATCAACTGGACGATACTAAGATTAGATGCAAGCTATTCAGTAGAAGTGATCGATCGATTGATAAAGTTGTGAATATTTTTTGACTAAGCTGACTTACTTCGACATGCGATGATGATTGGTATGCATGTATGTATGACTGATTGCATATTGTACATTTGTTCATTAGTTAAGCTGAATTTTGCAAGTGTTTCTTGGAGGAAATTGTAAAATATTTGCAGGTAATTCAAAGAAAATATAACAGTAACTGGTGATCATATAAAACCGTTAGATTCATTCTAGATTGTTATAATTTTGGGACATAATTTCCTCAGGAAAAAACAAACACAAGCTCTTAATATTTTAAATCACAAAGTGATCTCAGAGCATCATTAAAAACCTGGAAAAGTCGGACGGCTGTCTTATCCTAGCACAAGACTCCTCATAACGCAACTTTGCGTTATGGGACGGAACCGAGAACCTTGGGTCTTGGGAATGAACTTTTAACTTTTAGACCACCGGTCTGACATTCAACGACGTTAGTGTCCGATTCTAATTAATTTGTGGTATTTTTCAACCTTCACCGATTGTCTGCAGTGGATAACTGTCTCATACCGTACATGAATTGGACCCAACTAATCACGGTTTTTCACCAAACACTCCATGAGTTACAACTTGAAGCTAGTCACCAGTAAGCACATTGTTATAAGTATAGGGGGATTTGTGGAGATTGTAGAATTTCCACTGTGTAAATCATGAACTGACCAGTGGAGTTCAATCATTTTATATGTGAAACAGCTATCCACCGCAGGCAGTCGATCAAAGTTGAACAATATCGTGAATTAATTGAAATCAGACAGTGAAACCGTCAAATATCGGATCAATAATCTAACGGTTTTCGGTTCGGTTCCATAATGCTGAGTCGTGAGTACGCACTGCTGAGGAGTCCCGCTCTAGGACGATTTTCCCAGGTTTTTAATGGTGGTTCAACTGGGATCAGTTCATAACTTAAACTATGAAAACATAACCTCCTCTCTCAATAGTCCTTTGGTAACGAACAAGGACTTGAAGATCAAATGGAATACTAATTATTATTCATAGAAGACGGTCTACTAACAAAGTATGTATGTACATTTAATCCTCAAACTTCCATTTGCAAAACAATCAAATTATTAACTGTCTTCTTCTACATATCTTCTCGTCTTCTATACATTTCGATTGCACCTTACATTCCAATCTGACACTTCTCTTCGGTAGTAACTTCTGGGCGGCACTCCTCTGTTTGCTACCTAAAATAACCACTCAGCGACTATTGTCCACCATTATCACTACCAAATAAATTGTAAATAATCGAAGTCCTCTAACGTTGTATTCAGTTGTTAGATAGGCAGACAGATACAACGCAGAACTTCGTACATAAGTACATCAGTTCAGGTTGCCATGCCCCATCAGCACAGAGACGTAACTGTCAGTTCAAATCCAAGAGTGATAGCGATAGTAGAACTATTAGTAGCAATGGAGAAGATTAGGGAGCAAAGATATGATTCGAGAGGTATAATTCAGTGAGATAAATTTAGAAGGAGAAAGATTGAGAATATGAGGAATTCAGAAGGTTAGAATTCGGGAGAACACAAAGAATGGATGCACGTGCGTCATTGCAAACGATTTTGAGCCGTGTCGTTCAAGGTCTCTAACCATTGGTGACTTTCGTCTCGCGGACCCCAACCAGGTAGCCTACGTCTACCAACACGACTCAGTCCACTTGTCAGTGACTTCATGGATTTCTGCCATGTTTTGGTCTGGTTGCCCCTAGTTTTCTTCCAATCTATTCCTACACTACAAAACATAGCTCGTCGCAGCAGTCGGTGGTTCGGCATACGCAACAAATGTTCCAACCACGTCAACTGGTGAAGCTTCACTACCTCATCTATTGATCTGCCATCCTTAGCTAGAACTCGTTTCCTAACGACAGCATTGCTTATACGGTTGTACCATGATACACGAGCAATGCTTCAAAGACATCGATGATCGAAGACCAGTAACCTACGAAAGTCCTCTACTCTTAATGGTCATGTTTCGCATCCGTATAGTCGGACAGAGCAAACTGCTGCACAGTACACTCGTCCTTTGGTTATCAAGCGGATTTCTCGCCTACACCATAGGTGACGCAGGTTGGCAAATTCAGTTATTAACTAAGCGTCAAAGTTGTCTGGTTTGATAGAAACTGCTTTGCTCTGAAAGTTAACAAGTTCTAAGCAAACCTTCCATTGGTGTGTGTAAAACTTTCATCAAAATTTAGTCCATCAGAACCCATCGAGTTGTTATGATGACTTTATCTCACTTAATCTGACATTCACATTCAAACTATTTGTAAATGTAGCGCTCAATTTAATTTGATGAAAAATATTGATTTGACACTAACATGATAAATTGATCAGTGTTAGACCAGCGTTAGATACCTACCTGACAGGACTAGACGGCCCTTTCATCCTAGTAATGGACTCATTAGCAATTTGCATTCATTACCCCGCGAGCGGTTGTTGCATCCAGAAAACTTCGGTCTTGCACAAGAACGCTCACCCTGTAGTGAAGGAGAACACAGTTGAGTGCAACCGAATTGTATTTATCGCAAATTTACAGAGTTACTCAGTAAAATAGGAAAACCATATCGTAAACGGTTAATTTGCAAATCTTCAATCAATCATCAATCCATTGTCTGACATTTCACTATTCATGAGTTTCATACAAATTCCATTGTGTTTCCACTCTTCCTTTCTTGATCTTCCCTCATCTTCTGCTGCCAGACATTACGTTTACACTCGCTTCATATACTACTTATAAGTAGCGCGCACCACAACCCAACCGGCATTCAACATTCTTATTGTCTAACTTGAATCGATCCTTGATAAATATTTCATGATTTCATTGAAACTCAACAATCTCCACAACTTTTTATACTAACAATTATACTTACACATTCACTAAATAACAGTTTTTTTCTTTCTTTACAGCAAATTCTTCAATTTTTACGATCCAATAATAAAACAACAACATGTGACTATGAAAATGTAGATGAGAAAGCAAATCATCATGATACAATCACTTCAAACTCAACCTTGTACACTAATGAAAATGATCAACAAAATACATTATTATTGAATAATAATAATAATCAATCAATGGATAATTTAAACAATGATTCCCGGTTATTAATTCCTTTAGTTTTAACTAGTACTGGTTTTGTTGTTATAGCTGTTGCTCTTTGGTTTTATTTGCGCCGTTAAAGAAAGAAATCTTTTCTTTGTTATATATATATACATAGTGGATTTATTATGCATTAATATGTAACCAAGTTATTTCATTCTTTTTGTATTTATTTTGTATTTGTTAGCAGCCTCCTTCTTACACTCACTCTCTGTGTTTTGTTTTGTTTTTTGTTGACTGATGTTTTGTTTTTATTATTTTAAAAGAGAAAATCAGCTCTTAGTTGTTAGTTCATTAATTATCATCAGTCATTTATTTTCCTATGTGTATTGTGTAGCAGAATACACCACTAACAGTACACTAACAATACTGTTTCGTTATTTTGTTTTAGATGAACAAAAAAAGAAAAGAAGAAAAGGTGTTATCGTTACATTTTTTTCTTTTGAAATTTTGTTCATTTATTAATTTGTTATATATATATATATATATATATATATATATATATTTGAAGTATTTAATTAGTTTAATGATAGATGTCAATTTGTTTTATTTTTATTTATTGATTGTAGAAAGTTTAAATAATGTGAGTAGTAGTAGTGGCTCTGCCGCTCGACTTATGTTGAGATAACCTAATTTGATTATATAGGGAAGGTCATAACGTAACAATCATGAATAGAGCATGTACAATGTGTATGTCAATGATCCCCTGAGACTTTGCCGTGTGGACGAATACGTGTCCAATTTAACAGGCCATTGGCAGATATACGGTTGACTTCGGCCACCGAGCCTATCGTGTCATTCAATGTCTATTACACTTCCGGTAGGTGAATAGAGGCTAACAATCAGTATTACCGGGTTTATCCCTGTTTTCTCGGATACTAGGTTCAGTAAATATCTACCGAACATGGTCACAATCAGGTTTATTTGGAGGGCTTGGGTATCATAATGGTGCTCTTCTCACTACCATAGAGGACGGTATTAACAGCATCTTTAGGACAGTGATGGAGCCACTAACAGATGTAAGCACCTAAAGTCCTTAGGTTTCCTCTTCTGAGGTACGTCTAGTAAAATATCAACCCCCATTTCTAATCTTAGTAGGGTGTCATCGAATGGTCGTACTCTCCTAGCTTGTTGATTTAGGAGGGCTGCGATCCCTTATCGAGATTTATTGGCACACATGTGTTAGGGAGTGTTGTAAACTATCGGATTCAAATTTAAATCCTCCCGTAACTGTCTAATAGCAGCGGTCGGTGTTTTATTCGGTTCTCAAACAAAGATAGGGATCGAGGTGAGGTAGGCTTCAGTATGCTCATCCAACACGCTTGCATGGGTAATGCATCCGTTTTCATTGTAATAACGTATGGGGCAGCATCTGAATCAGAGCTGTTTTTACAGGTTGTACTGAGGTGTTGTTGACATAGTGATCCGTGGGCGATGATGAATATACTAGGAATAGAAGAGTTGTTTGTCTAAGTGAGAACATCCTCCGAGTTAGGTACTGAGTGGTACGAACAATCCACCAATTCGCAACTTCGATTGTAATAAGAGTTCGTGGTGTTCACTAATATATTGAACCCACTTAGCTTCTAACATTTGGAAGAACTGATTGGTCCATTCTTCGCTGGTTATCGTTCACACATTTTGATGCTGTCAATTATCCGCTCAAAAACATGTTTAATTTTTCTTAAGTGCCTCTATGCATTGCCTACTTAAGTTAGTTCAGTTTTGTCTAACAATAGTTACATAGTCGCAGCTCATCGCACTGAGTTGGTCCTCTTGATTTCCTGCCTTTCTATCCTCATGTCTGTCTGTACGAACAATCACACGCGATCAACTCACGCAGCCGAATCCATATGTGGCTTATTATCGCTATCTTACGAACACTACTAATCAAATAATGACGTATGGAAATTAGACGGAAGGTTTATTTCGTAGTAAATTCGATTGTTCTTAAAGACTCGTCGGACTCCGCTTCGCTGAATGCTTGTCTCGTAAGAGTTGCTCACTGTCGGAGAGACTGGAATCTGTAATAAATCGGTGTCTAAAAACATGGTGAGTTGTGTATTAGTAGGAAAGGCAATTACATTTGATGACCCAAAGCGGTTGGGATTTATATAACCCGAGAGTGGTGCTGGTTAGTTGAGTAGTTGTGTATAGTCAACACAGTAGGTTGGTGTATTGTTGCCAGGAATGCGTCATTAACTGAAGGTCGAGCGTGAACCACCAATGGCTTTACCGGGACAGACAAAGCGGGCGTTTCTTAATGACACCAGCCAATCTATTCGTGAGAATGGTGGTCGGATTTTGGCAACGATCATTCTTAGGATGCTTCTCTATTCACAGCAGTTAGGAGTGAGACATCAATGTAGGGAATTTCAGCCTTACCAGGTACTGCTTCGACTTCCTAGGCGGCACCGGATCGTCTTGTTCTATTAACAATCACTTATTCTGAAATAACCATGTGTTAGATGAAGCATTATGGTTTACAGGCAGGACCTAAGTATTAAAACTGCTAACACATTAGACGTAAAAGGTTGTTTAGTTGGATGAATATTTCAAAACATACAGTGGCTTTCTATAGAGTGCTAATATTTCACATATAACATTATAATGTTCCAAACTCTTGAATGTGCGATGAACTGGTTGGCGCGAGTTATGTCGTTTGCTTTGCGGCGAACGACGTCTGGTCGTGAATCAGTACAAGTTAAATTCAAGGCTGTAAACAACAAGAATTGATAAGTTAGGCTTATATTGATCTCGATGGAATTTGCCGGATAATAATTCTCAGGCTCTTGGTTAAATCAGCTGTAAGCCTCCTGGAATATGAAGGTTATTATATAGGGCGTTATATTTCTCCAAATGTCTCAGGCGGATGAGTTAATTTTGATTAATAACAGAACGAGAAGGTGAGAAGCTGGCCGCTCATATGGGGGCATCAGAAGCCCATTATAACGAGCAAAATGTTTTATCCCAGAAATCTGATGGCCACCGAAAACTATGATATAATTGCCGTTTCAGAACCATGGGTAACTCAGAAATGTATGACAAGGAATTTCAAATGTTTGGTTTCTTAATCTTCAGTATCAACAGCCTAAACCATATAGTTGGTACAGTAATTCTTCACATCAGATGCACTTTAACCATGCGCGCAGTCGCGACAGTGGCAGACGAGTCAGGGACATACATGTAAATTGAATAAGTTGTAGTATATCACAGTTCAAAACAAGTAGTAGATAATTCTTGAGAGTTGTCTTCTCGAGTATATGAACCATTTATACCCTGAATAATCCCAAAAAATAAAAAGCCCGACTGTCCTTAGGTAGAATTGAAGTTTCAAAGCATACTAAGATGAAAGAATAAGTGTTGGAACATCTCCAGTCGCCTTTGCTTCCCAGACTAATTATGAAATATTTAAGACGTATCATTAAATCACTATGCACGTTATCAACGCTCTAAAGACCCTACGAACAATAGATGCATATAAGTCAACAGGATCAGATGAATAATGTCTCAAAATCTTGATATAAATTAAACAGTTTAGTGGCGCATCGAGTCGTGATTCACTATGATCACCAAGACATACTAATTGCGAGCCCGTCACATAGAACATAAAATAATTTGTACAAAGGGCTTGCTTTTTCGTGGTTTCGAAAGAATACCGATATCGTGACAGAAAAGTAGGTCGAAAGTACAGAGACAACGGAGCCGAAATGGCAGAAACACAAACAGAAAGTTTGTGCATACAGAGTGTTATAAACAAAGAGGCCCAGTAAAACAATGACTGGTACAGTTGGTCTTAATAATGAATCTTTCTATTAAGTCAATCGCGTTCTCATCATAAAGATGGATTCACTACAGCAGCTTCCCACTAGAAAGGGTCTATACTTATGATACGTAGCTGCTTTGCTAGCGGGACTGGTCGGGTAAATGTACAATTATAGGACGAAAGGGTTGACATACAGAAGGCGATCCTGGATGAAACCAGATTGAGCAAGAAACCAGAAGTGACCATAAAAACCAAGTTCTAGACCATATGTATGCCTTGTGTAGTCGGAAGCTGAACTTCGAATGAGTACATTGAAAAGAGCTTTCATCAGATTGACTGGAGTCGATGTTACCAGCAAAGCGGTAGTCAGAGGTGTAGGCCCAGGATAAAGAAATCAAGGAAAAAGAGAAAGGTGTAGCAAGCATGTAGCAAGGGGTATAATCCATTACTTATACGTTTCAGCTGAACTATAAACCACTCAGCCTCATAAGTGTCATAGTTATAATACTACAAGACTATAATGATTTTCATGGGAACAAAATGCTTGTAAAACAGTGATCAACACAACTTTGAGAACAGGATCTCAAGGACAACCAACTTGCTAAATACAGTATAGGGTAAGCAGAGTCTTTAGACAATGGAAAGTCAAAGGGTGTTGTCTACGTAGACTTTACATAAGCGCTTGATAAGGTAGCAAACAATGAACCTCTCACAAAGCGGCCAAATCTAAGAATATGGGACGTAGTTTTAGATGAATAGAAGCTGCCATGATAGGGTAGTGTCAGAAAGTAAGAACGAGTTTCGAATACTTATCCAGTACGTAGTGAGGTATCACAAGGATCGATTCTGTATCTGTTTCGATCGAATGGTCACCTAAGTATCATTAAGTCCTCGTCGCTACCTTATGCTGATAATGTGAAAATTTGTTGAGAAATAGTGGGGATTCAGACGTAAGTGCACTTCAAGCTAAGTTAATTGTTCTGGTTAGCTGGTCCAAAGCATGAGTAATTCTTACCAGCGCAACCAAGTTCATCTACATTCACTTTTGGGTTACAAAGATAAATATACACAGCATTGCAGGAAAGTCAATGCCCTAAAACTGCTCTAACAATGATCTTCTGTTACTAGTACGCCATGATTTTATGACCACAGTTTACTTCCATACGTTTGCAGCTAAGGGGTTCAAAACACTAAGTGATTTAAGAAGGACATTTACAAGTTGATTAACAGTATGTTTATGGCGGTAAACTTAGAAGCTTACTAGGAAAATATAAATCTAATATCTGGATCCGAATACAACAATACGGGGACTACCAAACACTTGTGACCGTATAGAAAGAACGATAATCGAGAGAAAATAAATCATTTGGTTTATACTAGCTCGTGAAAAAGATATTTGATATTACAAGGCAATCCTTGAAAGATTGCACATCAAAGATCGAATACTCAGATTCATACACGCTTTTTCTCATTGCGAGTCGTTGCAACTTGGAATGCTCTCCCAGCCGAGGTAGTTACAGCCCCCTCAGTGGACTGCTCTAAGAAGAGACTTGATGATACGTACTCACATACGGACTATCATCTCCCTCTTGGACAAGCTGTTCATGATGCATATCTTGAGACCTTCTAGTTGTTACCATTGCCATCTCCTCAGATCACTCAATTAATCTATTTCGTCTATTATATCTGTTTACTCTCCCTTGCTTACACTTCGGTCCTCTCTCACAATCCTTACTACCAATTAACAAACTAAACGCACCTATATATTACTCAGTTCTGAAATTTTATTGATATTATCATTTTAATTAATCCTGATTACCCTTATTACTCTCCACATTTCAACTAACTGACCTCCAATTTGGTTATGTGACGGCTGCTAGTATCCAGAAACCCTACTTCCCTGAAACAAACGTTTCATTCAAATCCCGAGACATACAAACTTACAACCAACTGCCAACTGACTAGAATTAGACAGTCGAGTGGCTAGACCTCCATCCATTGAACATTACTGAACACCTGGAACCGTACCGAAAGAACAAGAATCGAGCGCGAAGACATCAAATTGGTTTACATTAGCTCGTGAAAAAGATATTGGATATTGCATATTGGATATTGGACAACCGAAACATCAGCTATGACCTTGCCGCTATTTTAGAAGCATTTCAAGGTCATGATTACCTGGGTTCGGAATGGAGTCAGACGATAGCAGCATCCTAAGGTTTCGTTCTGTTTCTAAGTGTGATGTGGCAAAGTTGCAGTCACTTTATGAGGAATGCTTTCCAGTCAGGTATACTTTGCATAAATAATCTGTGTAAAGCTATCCGGCCTCGTGGTTTCAAGATCTCCTGAATAATTCATCTCTCATATCTATTGTGGCCGTTTCAGGAAGCGACTTAGTTGGAATCTTGGTAGGAACAGTAACGACCTTAGGAAACTGTAGTGCCGATGTTGGTTTTTAATTTTCACTTCTATTATGTTTTTCAGGACCATAAATTACTTGCTTCTAGCTTTCCACTCTCGACAGGTGTTGCATATATTCTCAGTTTAGGTGTCACATCATCATTCAGGTCTAAGGGTGTTGGTAAGTTAATTCTTCACATTTTTCGTTTATTGAGTCTTGTAAATACGTTGGGTCTCTTTTCTAGGGTGTAAATTGATCTCAATAATTTGTTTATGACTGATATTAGGAACCGATTTAGCTGACCAAGGTTTCCTAGTTGGTTGGGGTCTAACAATCTCTATTATTGAATGGAATTGTCGTGAGATAATCTTTATAATAAGTTGAAATAGTGTAAATGCATTTAATCTGTTTTCCCGTAAACCTTCAGTTTAAAAATTATTCTATTTTTGTAGTCTTCCCGTATCAAACTACCATCTCCATTTGTGATGCTTTATTCCTGTTGCTACCAACACTTTCTACTGCTCTTATCATTCATCTTTTTAATTTCCTTTCAGTTTGTTAATGTGATGTGGGATTTTAGAACTACATGAAGTAATGAATCTTCATCAGTTGAGGTGGTTGAGACTTATGGCCGAACGAAACCACAGCACAAATTCATAAGGTCACTGGCAACGGGACTGAGTCATGTTAGTAGGTGTAGATCACCAGGTCGGTGTTCGCGAGACAATAGTAACGAATGGTTGAGGACTTTTCATGACAGGGCTCAAAATCGTCTGTAGGAGATGCATCCATTCTTTGTCTTTGCTGAAGTTCTATTTTTATGAATTGCTCATGACCTTTGTCTTTCTCTTTTCAAGTCTATTTTACTGGATGATACTTCTTGAATAATATCTTTGGTCCACAATCTTTTTGATCACCGGTACTACTTTTACTACCTGTAATACCATAGGATTTAAATTGACAGTTCGATCTCTGTGTGCTATTGTGGTATGGCAACCTAAACTAATGTGTCTACGTACAAAGTTCTTCGTTTTAGCTGGCTGACTGACTTATTGACCTCACACTTACTCTAGATAGACTATGCAAGAGCAAAACTTGTACCTTGTACGAAGTTTCTCTAAGCAATAAAATAAAATATGGGATTGGTTAACTGTAACAACTTAAAAAATGAGCAAAAATACATGAGACCTGCATGCCTTTCACTAAATCGGATTGTGTGAATGAAAAGAGTTTAGGAAACAAAACCTCATGGTTTATCAAAATGAACAACACAGAATCAAGTCAGTTTTCATAAGTTAAAAGATTCTTCTGAAAAGTAACCAAAGGCTATGTTTGAATACGGCTGAAGCCTTATTAAGTTCGTCATAAACAAGCTACCTCCAGAAACAGTAACAGGAGTAAGTATTTATGAGCTTCACAGAATAGGGTCAAAAGTGGATATTTTCGCTTTACGCGATCACTTTTTTGAAGGCATTTTTAATCAGATATGAGCAGCATACATCTGTCATATATTTTCAAAAATTCACTTGTCGCTGTTATGAATCCATACAAAAAGAAATTCTATCCAGTATACTCATCTATTTAGTTAGAAACAAACAAATGTCATACGTACTCCACAGTTTTCTCTTGTAGGCAAAACGCTAGCAACTTTTTTCATATGTTGAGATTTCATGAGTCATCAAACCACCAGTATTTGTAAAGTTCTCAAAATATTCGATGTGGTCAACACAGTCTACTTCTTCACTCCCTATAACTAAACTAAGCATTGATACTTACCAATTCTGGAGCAACATTTTACGTTTGTGGATAGATAAATATATTTAAAACATCTTTGTACTATCAACCAAGGCTTTCAGAAAGTAATTAGACCTGATGAATATCCACCTAACTTAACCAAGTTATATGGCATTTGGCCGTAAGCTCCAATTTGACCAATATTGTTTGAGTAAAGAGCCTTAAATAAGGTAATAAACTTAACTGGTATACATTTAATTGATGAACACTGCCAAAAGTTTTGTTGATGGACGGAGAAAATGATACTTTTAGACGAAAGAATGTGACTTCAGCCTGGTGTAGGTAAGTATAATTAAGTTCTTACACAAATCACATAGTAAGCATTAGATCAGTTCGGATTTAGTCAAAACTTAAAAGTGATTAAATCACACGGCCTAAAATCCTTGGATCAAAACTCTAAACCTCGTTCTATGTATTTCTGTTTTCACAGTCAGGTAATATGACTGACCCTCACAGTATATAGCCATACCCTTTATAAATGATTTGCACACTTACCCGAACTACAGTTAAGCATTGGATAATGTCAAAATATGACATCATGGGAGTTGAATTATTAGAACTAATTACTGTCTGTTTATTCCAAGAAGAGTTTTCAGTTGTAGTCTGTGACGATCAGGAAGCGATATGTTTTCGAAAGAATTGGATGGGGCTCCAAAACTATTTGTTTCAGCTAATCTGAATGGCAGCACGCAATCACCGTTATTGAAAACCCAAACAAGCTAGCCGGGTTTTCTCGCTTCAGATTAATTATGACCAGTTGAATTCTCTCACCAAGTCTTCCACTCACATTTCAAAATGAATTACTATTACCTTTTCTACCACTATCGTTTCACTAATTGCTGACTTTAAGCATGGTCTTCAGTCATTGTTTCAGTTGCTTTTAATTTTGTTGCACAAATCTTTGTCAAGTTATATTTCAGCTCAAAACACCTGGAGATGATCTGATAGTTTGACAAAAGATGTGACTTCTAACTCTCTTCTTTAATTTCTATTCTGTAACTCGGAGTTAGTTGTGCTCTTTTTACAATTAACATTTTACCACTCTAAATTATATCACTATACAAATCTCGATGACGCTTTACAATATCCATAAACTAGCACATTTAACTTACTCGTCTAGACATTAAATTTCATTGAAATCATCGACAGATCGATGTTAGACCACCATTAGAATCCTGTAAGCACTAGATGGCCATTTCGTCTCGGAAAGTGTGCATCCACGACCCCGCAAGTGAAAATGAGATCCATAGCCTTCCATCTGCTACGCGAACACTTAACCTCGGCGACTAAGCCGGCATAAAACGGAAGTTCCTGGGTTTGGTTGGTGTGTATAGGGTTGTGGATGTTCGCTTTTGATGGGTCTCATACTTGAACGAAGGATTTGATTGTGACCAATTTGGTCTCGTGTGCTGTTATGGGTATGAAAGCATATGTCACTTCCTGGCTGCCCACATTGTGGAAGGGTAATTCTTGAAGAACCTGAGACGGAAGTTGGATCAGTGTTGGTCTTAGCGTGACCACATAGCCCAAGAAATAACTGCTTGAGGCCGGTCACACACCTCTTTTTTATGGAATGTTTTGAGAGTGTTAGCCCTGCTCTTCAGATAACAATACTGCCGGAGACGGAAATCTGTAGGGTAAGATGAAGTGTAACATTTTTAGGCTCAACCTTTTCTAACCCCGTCCTTGTGAGAAGGCAGCATTTCTGCAGATGCTAGTTGTCCGAGGGAAACTCCTCACTGCCGTCACACCCCTCAGCAGTACGACTTTTCCCTCAGACCTTGAGTAATTGCTTTTAGTCTCATTGTTCTCCAATCGACCTACCTGGAATGGTAGAACGTACAGGAACATAGTTCCAGCTCGGTTGGGTCATCACGATAATCGAGCCCGATCACCACATCAAGGTAGCAGTCACGGTTGGGAGGTTTCATTCTAGGATGAAATGACCATCTAATGATCCCATGATCCCACTGGTGGTTTAACATTGGTTGGTTCCTGATTTCATTGTAACTTAACAACCTCCACAACCCTTTACGGACACTGAATTTCAAAGAATCATTAATTTATATACTTGACTACGTAATATCTTCAGGTTTCATATCATAAATGTTAGACTATCAAGAATAATAACATATCTGAACAACTATTAGGCTACGTTCTAATTGCTGTAAATCTGAAAAACCATTTTATCATTTAATCCTTCTCTATTTCTAATATTGTTTTTCTGTTGACATAATAACTAATTAATAATAATTCATATTTTTTCATGTTTTCCTTTATTATTTTTCTTTCTCTCTCTGTGTATTGTATATTCATCTGAACTAAATTCAATATATTTGTAGAGTCATTTTCATTAATAGGTCAGTCAGTCAGTCCGTTAGTCAGTTAGTCAAGTCGATCGATTAGTTTTGGATTCTGTTGTTTTTTCTCTCTTCACTCTGATTTTATCCATGCAATATTCTATAATACAAAAAAAAACAATTAATATATTTATATATATTTCTCTAACACTGAATAAATAATCAGAGCCTACACAAACTTTCACTTGATCAATGCATAAGTATGTAAATATATGACATACTATAAAGCTAATTTTATGCTTTGAATAAAACCAAACGAGTCGAGAAATTAGGGTTTATGTAACAATATATATATATATATATATATATATATATATATATATATATATATATATATATATATAGAGAGAGAGAGAGAGAGAGAGAGAGAGAGACTAAAACTGAGTCTTGTCAAATAGAATCGTCAACTGTCAGTTTTTCTTCAGTGAGATGTCGAACAGAAAATCGCGTTCTTTTCATATGAATTCTTGTACGTTCATAACGTTTCTTTTGTTTATTCATATTTTTTCCGAGCAGGGAACCTCAGAGTAATGTAGCTTTCATAGTCAGTCAGCTACAACGTAGAACTTCGTATGTACGTACATACGTACGTACATCAGATTAAGTTGCTATACCACATTTAGTACACAGAGATCGAGTTGTCAATTCAAAAATCCCATAGCAATAGAAGATTACCGGTAATGGATAAGATTAGGGTTCGAAGATATTATTAAAGAAGTATAATAATTCAGTGAAATAAACTTGATAAGAGGGAAGCTGTCATGAGGAACTCAGCAGATTATAATTTGCGAGAACACAAAGAATGGATGTATCTTCACCACTGCAGACGATTTCGAGCCTATGTTATTCAAAGTCCGTAACCATCGGTAACTATTTTCTCGCAGATCACAACGTGATAGTCTGTACCTACCAGTTGTCAGTGACTTCATGAATTTGTGTCATTTTTGGTCTGGCTTCCCCTAGCCTACTTCCAACCTCTTATTTACTTACGCCTGTTACCCGTAGTGGAGCATAGGCCACCGACCAGTATTCTCCAACCTTCCATATCCAGGGTCTCCATTTCCAGTTCTATCCAATTTTTGTTCATTCTTCCCATGTCTGTTTCCGATTCTCGGTGTAATATGTCCTTTGGCGTGAGGGTTCAAAGTTAGGGCTTGTGTTTTGACGCAGTTGGGTGCTTTCGTTAATGTTTGTCCTATCCGTATCCAGCGCTGACTTCTCCTTTGCTGGAATCCGCTGGTGTCTGGCCAACAAATCCTCAGTATTTTGCGTAGACAACTGGTAATAAATACTTGCATTTTCTGGATGATGGCTTTGGCAGTTTTCCAAGTTTCCACCCTTCATACAGATATGTATTCTAACATACTCCTACACAATACATAGCTCGTCGAGACAGTCGTTGGTTCTTTTTACGTAACACATGTCCTAACCACATCATCTGTGATAACGATTCACTACTTCATCAATTGATCTGCCATCTTCACTTAGGCCCCCTTTCCTTAAAAACAGCATTGTTTACTCGATTGTCCCGGAGGGTGGTTTGCGTAACAAACAATCTAATCACCCCTTTGGAGGAAAAGAGGGGTTTTGCTGTCTCCATTATTAACTATCCTTTTTCTTTTACTGTGGCAATTCTATCATATCATAAGTATTGGGTAGTATAGATTGAACTAAGTGTGTATCTATAAAGGAATTGCTCAATGTGTACCTCCAATACTGTTTAATGCAAACTCTTATTCATTTTTTTTTCTTTTAAGCATCTATTTTATTGAAATCATTTATTGGTTATGTGTCTGGTGAAAATATGGATTGGTTAAATAATTCTAGTCATCAAGTTGATTTAACTTGTTCCAATCTATTCAATCAAACAAACAATGTGAATACAAATTATCATCATAATCATGAAGAGTACGATTATTTTGATAAAAATGTAAGTGTTCTAAATACTTGAAATGCTGTTTATTTCGTGACTGTAAGATGTAGGTGTTTTTTATTTTGTATTCAGCTAATCTCACTAGTGAAGTAGTGAATTTTCATCAGTTGATATGGTTGGGACACTATGTTCTACTACATATGCCCAACTACCGACTACTTCAACGAGCGATGTTTTGTCACTAGACAAGCCCTCAGGGTAAAAGGAAAAGAGGAAGGCCAAGGAATGCGTCACGCCGAGAAATGGAAACAGACATGAGAAGAATGAAGAAAAATTGAACAGAACTAGCAAGGGAGGCCAAGGATAGAGTAGGTTGGAGAATACTGGTCGGCGGCCTATTCTCCATTGAGGGTAACAGGCTTAATTAAGGAAGTAAGTAAGTAAGTGAGAGGTTGGAAGAAGGCTAGGAGTGGCGGCCAGACTAAAACATGACACAAATTCATGAAGTCACTGATAAATGGACTGAGCTCATGTTAGTAGATGTAGACTACCTGGTTGAAGTGTGTGAGACAATCGTAACCAGTGGTTAGAGGACTTTAAATTCCAACCTTCTGAATTCCTCATCATCTCCATCTTTCTCTTTCTATAGTTATCTCACTGAATTATACTTCTTGAATCATATCTTCGCTCCCTAATCTTCTCCATTACTGCTAATACACCTACTGTGGTGCGTGCTACTTATAAGTAGTATGTGACGCGAGTGTAAACGTAATGTCTGGGAGCTGAAGATGGGGGAAGATCAAGAAAGGAATAGTGGGAACACAATGGAATTTGTATGAAACACATGAATAAGTGAAATGTCAGACAATGGATTGATGATGGATTGAAGATTTGCAAATTAACCGTTTACGATATAATTCTCGTATTTTACTGAGTAACTCTGTAATTTTCGTTAAATACAATTCGGTTGCCCTCACCTGTGTTCTCCTTCACTACACTACTATTTCTACCTTCATGGGATTTGAACTGACATTTGCCTCTCTGTGCTAATGCGGTATGGTAACCTGAACTTATGTACTCATGTAGGGAATTCTACTTTGTAACTGACTGATTGATTGACTGTATACGAAATACGCTTTTCATCACTTTAACTATTCATAGGTTATAGCATATAATGTCGATAATTGCATTTAAATAATATCAAAATTGTTTTTATTGCTTTAAAATTCAACTAAACTAACCAACACAGAAAATTCAAACTATGAGTGTTAATTATTGAGTAAACGCATATTTATTGATCTTTTCTAGTGGATTGTTAAGAATTCTTATTTTGAACCAACAATAAATATTCCTCTTTTATAGATTGCATTAACAATATGACATTCAAAATAATTCTTGACATTAGTTTTTCAATTCATTGGATTTCATATCTTCATTAAGTTCTTTTTTGTCAGAGATGGAATCAACCATGTTTGACGCGCGCAGTATCGCGAGTTGATTGAATTCGAAATGGTGAACTATAAGATGGTCATTCAAGAAACTAAATAGTGGGATAAAAGGCTCTCTCCCTGCCAAATGTTATGGGTTCAGTATCTGATTAGTTTTCGTTTATGCGTGATAAGAAAACTTATATTAGAGTAAAATGGCTGTTCGGTGACCCTTGTCTTTCTTTCAGTGGTCGTCTGAGTAAATTCATGATTAGAGAGGACAAACACAAATCGACTATTCTTCACAAATTTGTTGCTATACTTAAAGCTTTAATTTTATTTCTTATTGTGTTTTCTCTCCTTTTTACATCTATTTCATCTAGGTATCAATGACGCATAGTAATACATATCCGTCTATGATATGGCGCCTGAAAGATTATAAATCTTTGTATAATCTAATTACACAATTACCACGTGTTTCTCCGGTACAAGCTATTTACTTGCATGTACTGCACAGTAATCTACATGCTAGACGTTTCTATGAAAATCGTGGTTTTATTTGTTTACACACACGTCCCGGTTGTTATACAATCAATGGTCGATCTGCTGATGGTTGTACATATGTTCTGCATACAAATGGTGGATATTTAGACTGTAAACCATTGTATCCTTGTTTATGTTTATTAGTATTGTTACTATTTGTATTATTCTTATCGTTATTTTGGTTTCCATCGAATCAAATTCAAAGTATCGGTTCAGAACGCATAAAATCATCGCGTTGAGTAACCGGTCTGCCTTGTTGGAACAAGCGGGGAATATTCCATTGTTTTTGGCATTATCACTGTCTTTATTCATAAGAGTTTTATGTGAGATTTCAAACTATAGTCTAATTTTAAAAAACTGTTTCTAATACCCTGAGATACTACTACTACCAATACTTTATTGATTTTACACAAATCATTTTTTCATTGAGGTAGATATTTAATGTTAGCCCCATAAATTATTTTTGCGTATGATGATATATATTACTTTGTATTAGTGAGTAGTTTGTTTTCTACTTTGTAATTATTATTTCAAACCAATCTGTTAATTTGTGAAGTTAATCCATATAAAATAATATGTTTAAATCATAGTAAACAGCTTATTGATCGTTTTGAAATTGAGGCGGCAGCAGCAGTATATTTGAAGTAACAATTTACAGAGGAGGTAATGCTTATCAAGAAACAACTTTAAGGAACACTCATGATGTATAATTTAGAAGCTATTCGGAAATAGGAAAATCTGTATTATTCAAACATGCGATCTATTTGTCGTGGAATTACGTTCTTTAAGCTGGGTGTGGTTTGGTTGTGGAGCATTCATGATTGCTGTTCTTCTGAACAATATCATCAGCACAAACTTCAGATAGAAGAAGTGAAGTATTCGAATTTCTCCATGTTTGACTCGTAGCTTGTTCTGTTCAGTTCGATCTTGTTTGGATGTTGTTGACCTTAAACCTGTCGTTGTCTGAACCATTATTTTCATCGTATCTCCCTGTTATCTGTTTCTTGATCATATGTTTGCCAATGATTTTTTGTGATTGGTTGATTTGATTGCTGATTGACCTGAATGCGAAGCTTCTAAAAATTCTGTAGTGTTCTTTGCACTACCTCTATCCACTGCTTCAACATTTTTCCAATCGAATGTATATCCACAGTTGTCCTCGTGGATTGATATTAGGGAAGAAATATCCTGTTGTTTTGCAGCTAATTGATGTTCAGGCAGAAAAAGCTGGATAGGACGTCCACTTTGTCCTATGTAGTGTTTTTCACGATCTGAGCAATTTATTTTGTAGATGATGTTCAGTTTTTCTTATAAATGGAGGAGCTTCTAACTCCCAGGTCAGAGTTTAAATGTTTTGAATTATTTTTTCTGGCGTGTTTTTTTCAATGAATTACTTTCATACAGGATGGGATCACTAACCCGATGCCCAGTTTCCCTCACTTTATCAGATCTTGGGACCGGCATTAACCCCCCAGTCTGATGTAGTAAATTACTTACATATTAAGACAGATAAAAATAATCAGCCATAATATTTGTCTCATTGACAAAGTTTACTCATCAGTAACGGTACAAATTATAATTTTACTAAAAATAATGATCAAGTTGTTGTTAGTTGTTTCAACTGACATGCACTAACTCCATATTAAGTCCATCCAAAAATTATGCTTAACATCTATAATCTACTTATAAGTTTTATAAGTAAGTAAGTAAATGTTTGTGAATAATTTATTTTTGATTGCTTTAAAAACTTAACTCTCATTTCTTTTTATTATACAAAGAAATTACAATTTAAATACAATATATGAATATTTCAATGATTATTCATTAATAAATTGTTATGCCAGATGGATAATTCGTTTTTTCTCTCAATCAGGACATAATATTTTGTATATATTGAGTAGATTTTTACATTATCTCTGTGATACTCCGACAACATTTGTACATCATCATCATTATAATCAGCAACAACAACAAACACAAGCACAACCACAGGAATACATTAGTCATTTCGCTGAAAGTTCCATTTCAGACACCACACTGTCATCATCAGCATCATTGTCATCCACATCAACTTCATCGTCATTATCATGTGTTTCTTCTGATTCAACTATTCTAGACAGTGACATGTCTTCCATTCATTCAACATAATACATGCATTGATCTAAATCATACTACATGTAAAAATGTAAAGTTTCCAGTTTATCAGAGTGTGTAGAAGTGGTTGTTTGAAAAACATTTTCTGATTTCATTTATCTTTATTTTCTTAATTTGTTATTATTGTTTTCTTGCCAACACATATATCATGTTTTAAGCAACTTCTCTTTTCCTTGTTTATTGTTTTAGTGTTATATTGTGTGTTTTTTTGTGTACCTACCTTACTAGTTTTACTTACTTACTTTACTTACTCCTGTTACCCTCTAGTGGATCATAGTTCAGCGACTAGTGAATTGTTTTGTTTTGTTTTGTTTTATTTCGGTTAGCATTCTTTTTTTCTACCTAGTTGGATTTCTACAGGATTGCGGTCGACAAAATCCTCTCATGCGCCTACATGCCCTCCTGCTTTATTCAAACGCGCCTCAAGTGGAGGAGTTCTTTACTAGTGATATTATTTGGATGCATTTTTTTTCTACAAAAGAAAAAAACTATCAAATCAACTCGTACACAATGGTAGTGTCTTGTGAACAATTGTAATGATTGTAAATTTAAATCATGTGTTGAATCATTTAGTTGAAATAAAAAATAATATAACTCTATCAAAAGGTTATTTATTGTGTTTTTTCCCTTTTCTCTAACTCTCTCTCTCTCTCTCTGTTCGTTTCCCTTTTTGTCCACAATGTATGTAACAAACAATCTGCCGTAATGGTATTTATTGTTCTGCTGCAATTTGCCTCGTTTGTTAATAATAATAATAATATCAGTACTAATGATTATCTTGTTTTCCATGTTTAGGGTTAAAGTGTGTTTGTGTGTGCATGTTGGTGTGTGTGTGCGTGTGCACTTTTCATTACGTTCTATTTATTAATTTATTTTGTAATTAATAATTATTTGCCTATTTACAAAATAATGCATTGTTGAATTTATAGTCGTTAAATAACGTTGACTGATCAACTCATCAGTATTTTCGTTTGCATGTATGGATGGATGGATGCATAGTTTTCGCCCAGTTGTTTTTCTTCGCTTTCTCTCTCTATCTCTCTCTCCTCATTTTAAAAATGTACATATTTGGTTGTATCAAAATGCTAAAGATTCTTTTTTTCTTCAATCTTTCCTATTTATTTTTAGTTTAAATTATGAGTATCGAATAGAATACAATAGTTCAGGTACATGTTCTTCGTTTGTTTGTTTGTTTGTTGGTATAGTTGTTGTTGCTACTGTTCAGTTATTATCTATTGTAGTATTATTTATGATCGTGCCGAAACTGATTACATCCACTGTATATTCAATGTGGATCAATATACAGTAATATTGAATATTAAGTAATTGTTGTCCGTTGCTAGGTGATGCGCAAATCAAATAAGGTGATCAACAAATTGTGTGTTCTTTTAAACAGACTATTCAATAGAATAATAATAGTACATCGTATAAAAAGTAACATAAAAAAAATACAAACGGATGAATATTTTAAAACAACAACAACAACAATAGAAAAAGAAACTTTTTATTTTATGTTTCTATTTTTGTTGTAAACTGATACATTAAAATGATAAAATGTATTGTAACTGCATAAATGTAAGCTCAATCAGCTGTACAACGTTGAACTTCGTACGTGCGTACCTACGTATATCAGTGTACAAGTTGCCATACTACATTAGCATCGAGAGATACCACAGTAGTAGAGGTAGGAGTTGTGGATGCGTCCTGCTGATGAGTCCCATACCAGGACGAAATGTCTATTCAGTGCTTCCAGGTTTACTAATGTTGGTCTAACAATGATTGATTGATGATTTCAAATGTGTAAAACAATAATCTCCATAACTCTAATTAAACAACAGAGGAAGGTAAAGGTCATGAGAAATTCAGAAGATCATAATTTGAGAAAACACAAAGAATGAATGCATTTCCACCACTGTGACCTATGGACGATATCATTCAAAGTCCCTAACCACTGGTTGTTATTGTCTCGCGGACCCAGACGAGGTAGTTTACACCTACAGACTTGGGTCATTCCAGTTCTCATCCTAACCACCGACTGCCTCGAAGAGCTTTGTTTTGTAGTGTAGGAATAGGTTGGAAGAAAGTTAGGGGCGGCCAAACCAAAACATGGCAGAAATCCATGAAGTCATTGACGAGTGGACTGAGCCATGTCGGTAATTGTCGACTACCTTGTTGGGGTCCGCGAGATGATAAAAATCGATGGTTATAGACCCTGAACGATGTTACTGAAAACCGTTTGCAATGGCGCCGGTGCATTTATTCTTTGTGTTCTCTCAAATCCTAATCTTCTGAGTTCTTCAACACCTCTAGTTTTGACTTTCTAAACTTTTCTCACTGAATCATACTTCTTGAATAATATCTTCTAATACTATCCTCTCCGATTACTTCTAATACCTTTACTACCTCTTCTACAATTGGATTTGAATTCAGTCAGTCAGTCAGTTGCAACGTAGAACTTCGTACGTAAGTACATCAGTTCATGTTGCCATACCACATCAGCACAGAGATATAATTGTCAATTCAAATCCAATAGTAGAAGAGGTAGTAAAGGTATTAGAAGTAATTGGAGGGGTTAGAATTAGAAGATATTCTAGAAATATGATTCAGTGAGAAAAGTTTAGAAAGACAAAACTAGAGGTGTTGAAGAACTCAGAAGATTAGGATTTGAGAGAACACAAAGAATAAATGCACCGGCGCAATTGCGAACGATTTTAACCATGTCATTCAAGGTCTCTAGCGATCGATTATTATCATCTCGCGGACCCCAACCAGGTAGTCGACAATTACCGACATGGCTCAGTCCACTCGTCAATGACTTCATGGATTTCTGCCATGTTTTGGTTTGGCCGCCCCTAACTTTCTTCCAACCTATTCCTACACTACAAAACAAAGCTCGACGAGGGAGTCGGTGGTTAGGCATACGCAACACGTGTCCAAACCACCTCAACTGATGAAGTTTCGCCACTTCATCTATTGATCTGCCATTCTTACCTAGTACTGGTTTCCTAATAACAGCGTTGCTCACTCGAGTGTCCCACGATGAACGAGCAATGCTTCGAAGACATCTATGATCGAAAACCAATAACCGACGAGTATCTTCTACTCTCATTGGCCATGTTTCACAGCCATAAAGTAAGACGGAGCGAACTACTGCACAGTACAATCGTCCTTTAGTCAGCAGACGGATATCATGCCTACGCCATAAGTGACGTAAGTTCGCAAAAGCCAATCGAGCCTTCTGTATCCGTGCCGAGATTTCGTCAGTCACCAGACCATCGGCACTGATGAGACTCCCCAGATAAGTGAAGCGGTCTACACGTTCGACCACTTCACTCCCTATCACTAGTTCAGGTGCCGATGAAACCCAATCTTGAAGCAGTATTTTGCATTTCGAGGGTGAGACCCGTATCCCGAACATGCTTGCATTGTCGCTTAGGGTGGTCAGAAGACTGCATTTTGTCAGCGTCTTCACCAAGTAGGACAATGTCATTGGCATATTCTAAGTCAAGCGAGCCACCTGGTAAAAGGTCTACTCCTGAAAATTCAGACGAGGATAAGGTTATTTCTAGGAGCATGTCTATGATAAAATTAAACAAGAATGGAGAGAGTGGACATCCCTGACGGACACCACTTGAAGTAGAGAATTCAGATGACAGTTCGCCATAAGCTCTCACTCGACCAGTGGTGTTTGAGTAGAGAGCTTGTATGAGGTTAATGTACTTATTTGGTACACCTTTCAATGACAGACACTGCCACAGAACCTCACGATCCACTGAGTCAAATGCTGCTTTTAGGTCCAGGAAAACAACTATTGTAGGACGCCTAAATGTGTGTCTGTGTTCCAGGACCTGTCGTAGTGTGAAAATGTGGTCTATGCGGCCACGTCCAGGTCGAAAACCAGATTGGTTTTCTCGAGTTTGCTCTTCACGAGCTTTCGTTAAGCGTCGAAGTATTACTGAGGCTAATATTTTAGATGCCACATTAGTTAGACTTATTCCCCTGTGATTGTCACAACAGGACTTTTGTCCTTTCTTATAGATTGGGACAATCAGTGATTGAGACCAGTCGGATGGGATTGCGTCCAGTCCCCAGATTCTGCCTAAGATCTCAGTCAACCTAGCTGCTAAAACTGGACCACCATCCTTAAATATCTCAGGGGTCAGTCTATCAGGACCTGCAGCTCGTTCTCGCTTCAGATTTCCTAACGCTTTCTCAACTTCGTAAAGACAAGGGGGACTTAGGTCGATTTGCCGCTCAGGATGACTGGAGATCGTGGGTAACCGAAGAGTGGCTTGAGGCCAGTTGAATTGATCCCTTAAGTGTTCTTCCCATCGATCTAGTCTACTGGATTAAGAATAAATAATAGTCCCATACTTTTCCGAGATAGTCTCACTTACAATAGGATTCCTAATACCAGTTTCCTTGATGAGTCTAAATAGTTGCCTACTGTTGCCTATAGCCGCTGCCTTTTCAATCTCTCTCGCTTTCTTCACCCGCCACTGTTCTCGATCATTGCTCAGGCTTTTTATCAGCCTACGTCTATGCTGACTCTGCTCCTCAGAGCCAGGCGGGATGCGTCCTCGAGCATCCATCAGTTCGGTGGATGCTACTGAGATCCACAGCTTCATCCCAACCTTATGGTTTACCTTACTAGAAGATATCACTGCTGTTTCCACAGCCTTTTTGATATCATACCAACCTGCTTCGGGTTGGGAATCACTTACATGGTTGCTTAACTCTCTTTGTAGTTGCTCCTGAAATATTTTCTTAGTTTGATTATCATTGAGTAAAACCCTAAGAGGGTTCCTTACGGTGTCTTTTTTACGACCTGTAAGCCTCAAACAAATACGCGCTCGCACTAGGGCATGATCTGAATCTAGACATGTGCCCGAGAACGAGCGACAGTCCTCTATCGAACCCTTCCATCGGTGACTGATGGCGATGTGATCTAGTTGAGTCAAACGTTGAGACGACTTTGGAGGTCGCCAGGTCCAAAGATGCTTTTCCTTATGTCTAAGGTTAGTGTTTACTAAGAATAGGCGGTTATCTGAGCATAGTTGCAACAGACGGTCGCCATTGTCTGTTTTCTGAGCTGCGACACCATAAGATCTACCTAGGTGTCTTTCATTTTCACTCAGTCTACCTACTTGAGCATTAAAGTCACCAGCCATTATTACTACATCAGAGCGCCTAACGTTTTGGAGCAGGTCCGAAAACTTTCTGTAAAACTCATCTTTCACATCGTCTGAACTGCAGTCAGTGGGGGCATAGGCAGATATGACGAAGAGGCAACGGCGTGTGTCCCTATCCTTCCGAGTCCTTACTGTCCCGTTTAGTTGGACGGCGCACAAGCGACTATCTACTAGGATACAGTCAAGGAGAGATTGTTCAGCACTACGACTCAATGCTATGCCTACACCAGCAAGACCCCTGGAAGCAGCATCAGGACTT